CAAAACCTAAAACATATTACTGTGCCTATTGAGGATTTTTTCTTCATTTACAGATTTGCTGATTGCTGCTGTTTCTTTTTGCCAATTCGCAGCTAATTTGGTAGGGCGATGAACAACCAAAAGAATCTTGTCTTCCAGGACTGAATCTTGGCTAAGCACTTGCAAATTCAGCCCTCTGCCTTACTCTTCTATATTGATGCCCTGGATCAAATCATGACACTGATCTCCAGAATAGCTCTAATTTCTGTCCATATGCACAGAATGTTATGACTCTAAGCCTGGTTAGCTGAAGCTGTTTGCAAATGTCACCTCGCGTGTATGCCATTTGAAGAATATCTGTTGGGTGAGGCACTTGACAAATTCATAAAAGATATCACAGGCATTTTTACAATGGAATGGTCCTAAAATCCCTTCTTTGGGGGCTTCTACCTCCTCACAAAGAAGTGGAGCCCATTGCTCTTCTAAGGCTTCATTTTCAAAGCCAAAAGTGAATAATCCCTTTTGGTGCAAAACTTGAAACACATAACAAGTCCACCTCAAAACTCTATTCACAATGAAGAGGCACCCTCATTCACAAGAGTGGGGGGATATGTTAGTTTGCCTTTCTCTGGGTCATGTCTCAGACCTTTGGGTTTAATCACTGGCTTTAAATGGGGTACAAAATAGAGTTCAAGCTGCACCTCCAACCGAAATCTTCTCAAGGACAGTCAGTTTTGCTGACTGCCCTGCATCACCATCTCTTGTGGTCATTCTGGTCCCTCTGAAGGACAGTTTTAATGGATTCTATTCAAACCTATTCAGGGTGGCAAAACCCAGCAGGGTATTCATCTTATCATGGACTTAAAATCCCTAAGCAAGCACACTGCCATTCGTCTGGGCCCAGAGTATTCCCAAAAGTACTTGCACCCCTTCTTGCCCTCCTAAAACATGGATATTTAGGTAACGTGGTACCTAGATGACCTTCTGAAGAACTCCTCTCCCCTTCAACTATCTGCAAACATCCAAAGGACCATTCAGATGTTTCAGGCCTTTGGCTGGGTAATACATTTTCAGCAGTATTCTCTTCAACCCTTCCTTCACCTAAAATACATATGCCTTATTCTGGACACAGCCCAGGCGAAGTTTTCCTTCAAGAAAACGATGGAGGCTGTGATGTCTTTTATAAACAAATAGTAACTTGACAGTGTTTCCCAAACGTGTACATAAGGCTGTCAGTGCGTTTGACATGTTATGATCTATGAAATCAATATCTCCAAAAATACAGTTGCATCGAAAGTGTGATAATGCTACTGTTAGGCCTCAGTCACACGTCAAGTGTCAAATTGGGCGCAGTGGGTTTTTCCGTGCAGCCGCTGTTTCCCAGTTGACATCAATGTGACTGCCTGCACAGGGATGTACAACACACCTGTGCATCCACATGCAGGTAAAGACAGCCTTGCAAGGGCATACTCTGTAGTGTGCCATGTGTGAACCTGAAATATATTCCTCCTTCCTTATTTTGAATTGGTGTCTTTTGGTAGCATAAACTTTTGTATACTTTTGTCTCCTTAAAGAAAAACTGTTTGAGAGTGCTAAATGTACAGATATATAGAGATAAGAGCTAGAACAAATATGGTCAATGTTCTGCCTTTACTACTTCTTGTGATAGCAAGAAATGAGAATGAGTGACTGACAGTCAGCTGAGTGGGAACTGGCAACTCCACCCTTGTAGCATGCTTTCTAAGGAGAGACGCTTGCCTCATGGAAGGAACACCCCTCATAGAAAAGTTGGTTAAGCTTTATAATAAGATAACCACTGGCAAACCGCAGCTGTTTCCTCTTTTCACTGTGCTGTCTACTAAAAGGGAAACGGTCTTGATAACCTATCTGTTACCACTGAAATTCTCATCTACCTGTGGGGGGTACACATTGGGAAGTATTGTTGTTTTCAGGGCCAAGAGGATTCGGACATTGGCAGCCCAGTTGACCTGTAGGTAAAATTTGCTATGTACTCTGATGTTGCTCTGGAGCCAATTTTTGCAGTTTGTTCAGATTATACATTGCATACTGTATGTCTTCTCACAGAGAATAGTTTGTTTCCTTTCATTTTCTGTTCTGTACTGCATCTTTGACCAACCTTGCTCATGTGTTTTTGTCTTGTCTTTTTTTCCCCTTGATTCATGACTGATTTAAAGCACACAAATGTTCTTTACCACTTGCTGACCTGTACTGTGCCTGGTACGTCACTGGTCTTCAAGTGGTTGTACCAGGATGATGCTTGTAGTTGCAGGCATCATCCCAGTACCATTATTAGCAGCTGACAGTCGGCTTTCTTATAATAGCAATCGGAGTGGCTAACTTAGTGGCTCAATTGCTATTACAAGCTGCCTTCCACTGCTTTCATGGGATTTCCTGGCCCACCGGGAGTCCCTATCGACCAATCGGCGCTGCTGCCGCCGGCTAGTCACTGAGCCGGACAAAGACTGTATCGACTTGTTCAGCTCCATTAAGTAGTAAAGTGGAAGTGATGTGATGACCTGACCTCACTTCCGGGTTTTTCTCAGAAACGATCTGTCATTTTTAAAAAATAAAATCATTCAATCACACCTATCTTGGTGTGATTGAATGATTTCAAGGATAGAGAAGGTATTTGGGGTCTTATTGACCCCATATCCCTCCTTACCCTAGGTTCACACCTAAACGTTTTCCGCAGTGTTTTGCAGAAACGCAGTTCAGTGCATTTAACATGATTTCCTATGGGACATGTTCACATCTGCGCGTTTTTCACCCGGTGCATTTTTTGGAAAGGGTCAGGGACTTTTTTGAATGCAAAAAGTTGCGGTTTTGGTTCTATAGAGTTCAATGGAAATGCTGCAGAAAAGCACGTAGTGCATTTCGATGCATTATGCATTTTAAATCTGCCTAGCAACAAGAAAGATGAAAGAAAAAATGCATAAAAAAAAGGCGTCAAAAACATAATTGCAAAAAATTAAACGCAATGCAGAAACGGCTCAAACGCAACCTGCATAGGTGTGAAACTAGCCGTGAAGAGTACCTGTCGCATGCCTATTGCTGTCACAAGAGATGTTTACATTGTTTGTGACAGCAATAAAAGTGATCAAAAAAAATTATTTTAAAGTGACAGTGTAAAAATAGTGCCGCACACATGCAAACAGTGATAGTCCTACACGTGAGAGATCACCACAAACGTCATATCATGGGCAGTATTCTAGTACCAGACCTCCTCTGTAAATTTAAAGTGGTAACCTGTAAAGGTTTTTAGGGCTTCACCTATGAATTGTAAACTTTACATCATTTGTCGCCGTTGCACACGCACAAACAATTTTAAAGCATGACATGTTTGATATCTATTTACTCAGGGTAATGGCTTTTAAATTTTACATTCAAAATGTTTTTTTTTTTAATAAAAAAATTAAAATGTGTATCTTCCCAAAAAAATTACGTTTGAAAAACTGCTGCACAAATTCTGTGTACGTAACAAATTGCAAAACTCACCAATTTATTCCCAGTGGCCTCTGCTTTTAAGAAATATATTAACTTTGGGGGTTCTAAGTAATTAAGCTCTAAGTAATTTTCTAGCAAAAAAAAAAAAAACCTGTTACATGTGAACAAAAAGTGGGAAAAAAAAAAAACTGGTCTTTAGTAGCAGGGCAGGAAAAAGCATTGTTGACTTCGGCTTTGGTCCAGATAAGTTACATTTAATGCTGTTTCTGCTAGTTCTGTATTGCTGCTGGGGATGCTAAAAATCCTAGGTATATCCATGCTGGTTTCTTCTGCCAGCTGTGATCTAGGTGTTTCTACTGACAGTATACTATAGTATAGTTGAGGCTTTGTCTCTCTTCCCCTCATTCATTCAAAAAGCCTTTTGTTGGTTTTACAGAATACATGGTATTCTGCAGATGGAGGAGGGGTGATCCCATTGACCTATCTCCCATCCTCCACCCTCATCCATTCACAGTACGCCTTGTATCCTGTGAAAAGGATACAAAACTTTGTGAATACATATATGGACTGGAATGGGGGAAAGAAACTACAGGATTCTTCAAGGTACTATAGCCAGAACAGTCAATAGTTGCATCCAAAGACCACTGCTGAGAGTATCTGGCATGAATAAAACTGGTATTTTCTGAGGGATTTAGGTTTATGCTGGCTGTTAAAGACCTGGTGATGAAAATGATGCATGCTTTTTTCATCATTGAAGTTTTCACAAGTCCCTTCTTCTTTCTGAGAGATTTTTTTTTTTCTATTTATGCTCTCCACATTTCTCAGAACAAGGTCTCAGAAGTCTGGCATATGTTTGCACCCTGATATTTGAGATTACCAAAAAAGTTGAGTACACTGCCACCTGAAGAACTGCTGCTAAAACCAGTACATTCCCTGATCACATTTAGAGAAGCTATACCAACCCTTTTATGTGAGGAAGGAAATGCTGGAAATCCAGACTAGTAAATGCTGAGTAACCTGAGAGAAGACTGTCTCAGACTTCCTGTTTTCTTTTATTTCCTTTTTTAATTTTTTTTCAGAAATGGTGTGTTTTATTGTTGCTGTTCACATCCCTGTGTTTCTGTGGTTACTGGTTCTTATGGCTGCTGCTATGAACAGTGAGTCATCTCATTGTGCCTTATTTTAAGGAACTTTTTATGCAGATGAAATTCTAGAATGCCACAAAACAATGAGACATTGTGGTTTGGTGTGTCACATGTGAACCACTGTATGTATGTCTGTGTGTGTATATTCAGTTCTGTTGCTACTATACAATACATTCATGATCGAGTGACTAAAGAGGGACAGTTTGAAATTGGTTGAGATTTACCCAAGTGAGCTCCCTGAATGTTAACTTGTGCATTCACATTCTGTAAAGCAAAGTAGTGGAAATCCTTTTTTTTTTTTTTGTTTTTTTTTTTTTTTTTCGTTCTTTGTTTTTTCTGCACTATCAAACAAACACCATCTCATCTGCTTTTTTTTGTGTGTTTTTTGTTTTTTTTTTTTAATATATACAGGAGCTAGAGTAAATGCCAAAGACAGCAAGTGGTTGACTCCTCTGCACAGAGCTGTGGCATCCCGCAGTGAGGTATGTGTAAAAACTTCTGATCCCATCAGTACAATCTCTCATTATATTCCCATTTTGGGCTTAGTTCAAAAATGAGAAGTGCAAACAGTTGGCATTTAAAGAGGAGTTAAACCCCAAAATAAAGAAATGATTTTATTGCAGCTCATCACTTGTTAGATATGATGGCTGCATTAGTTTTCATAGGCTTTTTTGCATTAATTTTCACCTTGTGATCCAAGCTGTAAGTCTGTTATCTTTCATGTTTCTTTAACAGACCATGCTGTCCAGCACAAGTGGCAGTTAGAGGGTTGAAACAAATCATTAAAGCAGAACTAAACCTTTCTATCTTTACAGCTACGGAAGCTGCCATCTTAGACTATGTTTGGTCTGCGGTTGCCATGGTGCTGCCTGTGTGATCAGTTATAACCCCAGTTTAGGTGAGAGGAAAAGCAAATGTAACGGTTATCATTCACGATATACCTTGAATGTAACAATTTTGAGAAAACTGTTAAATCGTTGAGTTTAGTTCCATTTTAATGGGGGGGCTTTGTTAATCAAGTCCATTCAAATCCTCTAGCGCACCTAACACTACCCTCTCCCCCCCAGATTGTCAATGCTGGGGGCCTCCCTAGAAATGGCTTTGTGACCCAGGAACAACACTAGTGTAAATAGCTAGAAAAAAAGCTCAGTTGAGTGTATGAATTTGTCAGATTTAAAGTGGTTGTAAAGGCTCAAGGTTTTTTTTTTTTTTTTTTTTTTTTTTTGCCTTCATGCATTTTATACTTGAAGATCTAGAAAAAAAAAACAACCTGTGTGCTGCTAAGCCCCCCCATCCCTCCCCCTAATACCCACCTGAGCCCCATCTCGAGTTAGCAATGTGCATGAGATCTTCGGCTCTCTGTGGACTCTCCCTCCTCATTGGCTAAGACCGCAGTGGAAGCCCATCATAGCCAGGTAGCCAATGAGGAGACAGAGGGGGCTGATTGAGCTGCAGCTTTGTGTGTGAATACACACAGGACAGCGGCTCGAGAGCGGGCCTGTATGGGTGCCCCCATAGCAAACTGCTTGCTGTCGGGGCACCTGGCAGGACGAAGAGGCCAGGAGCATTGGCAGGGTACACAAGAAGAGGAGGATCGGAGCTGCTGTGTGAAAAACACAGCACAGAGCAGGTAAGTATAACATGTATATGTTTTTGTTTTTTTTGTTTTTTTTTTTTAAATATTGCCTTTAATATTACTTTAACTCTCCAGCAGATACAGAAAAATAAAATACTTTAAAGTAGACTTGATCTTTGAGTATCTTTTTTCTTTTTATGGAACCTGTAACCTTGTGCATACAGTAGGCATGTGCATGTGACATGTCCAAACGCCTGATGTATATGCTTGTTACAGGTCAGAGACATAGACCGCATTGGGGCATGCAGCTTCAATAACAAGTCCGTAATGATTGCCCCTAAATTTTATGCTGATAAAGCTCAAATTGTACGTAAGGTTTACATATGGGGGAAAATTCATCTAATGCCCAGGGATTGTAACATCTGCTGAACATCTTTTAGTAACTCAAGCTCTTAGTGAAGTCTCTATTTGGGAATTGTATGCCATTAATCTTTTACGATGTTGCATTTTTAACAGTTTCTATTTCTGTCTACAGGATGCTGTCCAGGTGTTGTTAAAACATTCAGCTGATGTCAATGCCCGTGACAAAAACTGGCAGACCCCCTTGCACATAGCTGCAGCAAACAAAGCTGTGAAGTGTGCAGAAGCACTGGTGCCTCTTCTTAGCAATGTTAATGTATCTGACCGAGCAGGGAGAACAGCATTACACCATGCAGCCTTCAGCGGTCATGTTGAGGTATGATGGGGGCATGTATCCAAAATGATTTATTGCAATGCAAGCCTTAACTACGTTTACACCATTTTGCATTTCTAAGTAAACCCAAAACAGCAGCACGTGGCTTTGAAGCAATTATTTTGTTAGAGCTGGAGACCTCAAGGCTGCAATCGTATTCATGCACAGCAATGTTCTTTAGAGACATCTGCTGTGCAAATTTAGCAGCTCTGCTTGAATGTACTCAAGCTATTCAACTCTTTCCTTCTTGTGACATAGGTTTGCTATAAGTGGCATGTCCCCTGTGGCAATGAATACAATTCAAGAAACCTACTTATGTGCCTCATTTCAAGTCTGTTTCTCTCTCTCTCTCACTCTCTCTCTCTCTCTCTCTCTCTGCTTCGATAATTATATTGCACACCTGAACTATATGGTAATATAAAGGGTAAAACTTTCAATTGCATTTTTTTTTTTTGTTGTTTGTTTTCACAGTTAAACGTCTTGCTGAAATGATCTTTGTTAATCTTTCTATTTGTAGGAGAGCTTAAACTGGGAACAGTTCTTTTGTTTTAAATGAAAAGGTTTTTTTATTACATGCAATGTTTTGTACTGTATACTGGAATTACTGCGAATCTCTGACCTATATAGAACCTTTGTTTTTGCACATCATAGCTGTAAAAACAGCAGCTCCAGCTAAACACATAAGTACACTGTTGAAAATTATTTTTGGAAAATGTTTACCTGCTAAACTACCTTTTGTTCAGTCAGCCTTGCAGTGCTTGTATATCTATAGCATAAAAAGGTGACAACTTGTCATGGCTGTTCATTTTGAAGGCTTTCCATCGGCTCTGATTAGAAAAAGTTACACAAAAGATCTCTGTCCTGTAAGGTCATCTAAGTACCTCCCCTTCTAGCATGTGTGCATACAAAGCTTTTCCATGCAATCTGAGAGTTTGTTTGCAGATTTTTTTTTTTTTTTTCTGGCATGTATAATGATTTATAGAAATAGAACTGAAAATGGTTTCAGTACCCTTTTTTCTTAATCATACAGTACAAGGCACAGGCTCCTCTGTGCTGGGAGCAGGTTTCCTGGATTCTGATTATATTTATAAGATTAAAGACTTTGATTCTTCACATGGAGAAATCCCTTCTCCCCCTGACTACATCATTGGACTGCAGGGATAGGTTTGCAATTTTTAGATCTGTCGTCTTTTTCCTCAGGGAACTGTGCCTAGACGCTTCCACATTGAAGACATGGAACCAGTTTATGATGTTTTTTCTTTAATAATGCAATTAGCTGCAAAGTGCTCTACAAGTCCAGGGCAGTGGTGGCCCGCATGCCAGCAGTTCTAGTCCTTAAAGACTCTCTACATGGATGAGTGGATATGCCCTTCTGAGAGAAGCTTTTCCACCTAGTGGTCTTTCCTTGGTGTTTGCAAGGTATGCTTGGAAATTATTCCATTTGATGGAGTATGACTCTTTGATAAGTCACTAGATACCTCTCTTTTTTTTTTTTAAGAAAGTCATGGGTCGAAAAAGCACTCTTAAGGCTCGTTCACACCTGACTAATTTCCAATTCTTGCCAAACTCCCCTATAGCGTTTGGGAAGCATTTTTAACGCTTCCCAAACGCCCTATGCGTGGTTTAGAGGTGTTTGATAGGCGTTTGCCAAGCGTTAACACAGCACCACAAATGCCTATAATGAAGTTTAATGCTATTAACACTACGCAAACGCCTCGCAAACTCCTGCCAAGTGTTTGAGGAGCGTCGCCATAGACTTGTATGGGAGGCTTCAACTCCTCCTGACTCGACATGAGGCGTCAATTTTGCCGCGAGGCTAACGCTTCAGTGTGAACTACACTGTGTGCTGCCATGTGTAGAATTTTCATAGGCATTTGAGGAGCGTTAAAAACGCTTCCCAAACACCTGTATGAGGCCTGCTAACAAAGCTAGTGTGAACTTAGCCTTATCCAGTAAAAAAGATAAAGTGCACGTGCCAAAAACTGCAGCTTCCAAGCTGTGGAAGACTCTTTCTCTGTCCCAGACTTTCACTTCAAACGCCAACTCCTCCACTCAGTTCTGTTGCAGGGCCTGCATGTCCAAGCCAGCCAAGCCCTGGTAATGATGGGGATCCCAAGCTGTTACAAGTGGGGAGACATCTTCTTGGCTGCTTGGGCCGCATGAACACAGAGCATTTCAGATCTGTGGGTCCGGGACGTGGTGTAACCTTTTTACAGCTCAGTGGTGGTGTTCGTCCCATGTTAAATTTGAAGGCTCTCAACACCTTTTTGTGGTCCAAATGTTCCGGCTAGAATCCGTAAATATTTTTGCATCTATAGACATCAAGGATGCATATTTACATATCCCCGTTTTTTTTGTTTTTTTTTTTTTTCCCCCCGATTTCTCCCCCCCCCCCCCTTCCCCCACATCGGCAGTACCTATATTTTTATGGTGGGAGAAAAGCGCTTCCAGCTTTTGGCTCTTCCCTTTGGCCTATCCTGGGCCCCTCAAGCCTTCACCGAGGTGGCTGCCCCGATCATGGCACTGCTGCGCTTTCAGGGAAGTCCACATTATTTGGTCAACCTTCTGTTGAAGGATTACTCTACCCCTACGTCTGGTGGCCAATGTGCAGCGGATGATAAACTCTTCAGAACATTGGGTGGATTCTCAGCTTTAATATGCACAGGATCCTGCCAATCTCTAGGAGTACCTGGGCGTAGTCCTCAACATAGCTCAAGCCTGGGTATTTTTGCCCTTGGAATGGGTGTTGACTTCCTGAGGCTGAGGCCATGATGTTTGCCAAGTTTAACTCTAGGCCGCTCTAGTTCAATGTGTTGACTGTGTACTACAAACTGTCTGTCTCTGGAAAAGCCCATGCACCATATACCTCAGGGCCTGGATATCACTGACCAAAGTTCTTTCTCGCATTAACCGGGACAGTGTCGGACTGAGGAAATGTCCTAGGAATGAAAATTGTCCAAGAGACATTGTCTTTTGAAGAAGTGTAGACTTCCCATCAAGTTTTGAACAAATTTCCATTATATTCTCGCTGCAGGTCAACCATTAAATTTTTACGTTTTGAAAATGTATGCTCATGAAAACAGCTATTATATGCATATACAGTATTTACACCAATCAGCTTTGACCACCCACCTAATGCTGAGTAAGTCCCCCTTTTGCCACCAAAACACCCCTATCCCGTCGAGATATGGGCACCACTAGACCTCTGAAGGTATTCTGTGGTATCTGGTACCAAGCAGTCAGCATCAAATCCTTCAAGTCCTGTAAATTTCGAGTTGGGGCCTCCATGGATCTGGAGACATTGGAGGCCAGTTCATCACCTCAAACTCAATATTGTGTTTCTGATATCATTCTTGACCATTTTTGCAGCGTGGCAGGGCACATTATGCTGCTGAAAGAGGTCAATGCCATCAGTGAATACCATATCTGTGAAGGGGTGCATTTGGGCACCAACATGGTTAGGTAGGTGGTATGTATCAAAGTATCATCCACATGGCAGGACCCAAGGTTTCCCAGCAGAACATTTCCCAAAGCATCAGGCTGCCTCTGACGGCTTGCCTCCATCCCGTACTGCATCTGGTATCATCTCTTTCCCAAGTAAGTGACACATATGCACCTGGCCATCCACATAATGTAACAGAAAATGTCATTAGACAAGGCCACTTTCTTTCATTGTTCCATAGTTCAGTTCTGATGCTCACATGCCCATTGTAGGCGCTTTTGGTTGTGGTCAGCATGGGCACCCTGACCAGTCTGCAGCTACACATTCCCACACAAACAATGGTGGCCTTTTTTTTCACCTTTGAACAAAACTTCAGGCAAACATTATTTACTTGATATCTAATATACCACCCACTTTCAGATGCCATCATACAGAGATTTTCAAAGTTATTAATTTAACCTCTCCGTGGTCATAACGTTATGGCTTATCGGTGTATTCCCACATTGTATTCAACAATTTCTAGTCTACATCTATTAATCTGAATGATCTTGACCTTTTGTAAACCTGTGAAGATCCCCACACATTTACTTACTTGCATTCTGAGACACAAAGACCTCATGTACAAAGGACTTTTTGACCACTCTCCTAGAAGTCTTGCCTTCTGACAGCAGCATTTTGGCAAGAAAAATGCTTGACGCTTGTTAAAGTATATAAAGCGTTTAAGCGCATCAAGCGATTGGGCGTGAATGGCTTCTTCTGCTGAAACGCCGCTGGTCCTGGACACACTGGATTTTTTTCTGCCTTGAAACTCCTCTAAAAGCCTATGTGTGCATTGACACAGGCTAACGTGCAGGGGCATTTAGAGGCAGGAGAAAATGCCAGATGCCCCTGTGAACAGCTGTTAAAAAGTCCAGTGTGCACGAGCCCTTAAGCTGGCCATACATGGATCAAAATTCACTGCTGGTGAATTCAAAATTAATTCAGCAGGGACGGACCAATTTCAGTCCATGTATGGGCACCTTGGTTGTACTAAAGTTGATCTACCAATCTGGTAGATAAATTTCACTCGATCAGCGCTGCTGGCTATAGCGAACAATGCTGATCAATGTTTTCATACTTTGGGAAAGTCTCCTCACTGTCAGAATACAATCGTTCAGAGAGAGGATTCCCCCATCCACCTCAAATTTGTGGATGGGGGAATCTGGTCAGTTTTTTTCTTCAACCTGCTAGCTGAATAAAAAAAAAAACAACCCATCTATGGTCCGCTTAATTTACTATGCCCTGTCAGTAGGCACTTTTGTGTCACATATTTCAAAGCCTGGCTTTAAACTAAAGGGTACAGAAATCCCTGCATGCAGGCAGTACGGTACTAGGGGATATGTAATCCTCAGAAATGGAAAGAAAATAGCTGCAAAATATGCTGGAAATCCAGGAAGTTGAGAAATGGAATGACCAGCAGACAGGCAGTACTGACAACTGAAAAATAGATTTTTTTTAAGTAAGCTTATATTGGATTGTCAAATATAACTATTGTTTGTACACTGCTAATACAAAAAAAAAAATTTAGGGAACATTTTTATTCAGAGTGTAGCATCAAATCAATTAAACTCCTGGGATATTGATCTGGTCAGTTAAGTAGCAGTTTAATCAGTTTCAGCTGCTTTGGTGTTAATGAAATTAACAACAGGTGCACTAGATTGGCAACAATGAGACAACCCCCAAAACAGGAATGGTTTAACAGGTGGAAGCCACTGAAATTTTTTTCCCTACTCATGTTTTCTGATTGTTTTTCACTAGTTTGCATTTGGCTAGGGTCAATGTCACTACTGGTAGCATGAGGCGTTACCTGGACCCTACAGAGGTTGCACAGGCAGTCCCAACTCCTCCAGGGTGGCACATCAATACGTGACATTGCCAGAAGTTTTGCTTTCTCTCCCAGCACAGTCTCAAGAGAATGGAGTAGATTCCAGGAGACAGGTAGTTACTCTAGGAGAGCTGGACAGGGCTGTAGAAGGTCCTTAACCCATCAGCTGGGCCGGTATCTGCTCCTTTGTGCAAGGAGGAACAGGATTAGCACTGCCAGAGACCCATAATGACCTCCAGCAGGCCACTGGTGTCAATGTCTGACCAAACAATCAGAAACAGACTTCATGAGGGTGGCCTGAGGGCCCGACGTCCTTTATTTGGCCCTGTGCTCACTGCCCGGCACCATAGAGCTCAATTGGCATTTACGATTGGATACCAGAATCAGCAGGCCTGCCACTGGCACCCTGTGCTTTACACAGATGAGAGCAGGTTTACCCTGAGCACATGTAACAGATGTGAAAGGGTCTGGAGAAGCCATGGAGAACATTATGCTTCCTGTAACATCGTTCAGCATGACCGTTTTGGTGGTGGGCCAGTGATGGTCTGGGGAGCCATATCCATATGGATATGGAAAGACGCACAGACCTCTACAGTCTAGACAATGGCATCCTGATTGCCATTCGGTTTGGGGGTAAAATTCTTGGAGCCATTTTCAGACCCTGGTGCAGTGCATCCTGGGTTCCTCCTGGTGCTCGACAATGCCCGGCCTCATGTGGCGAGAGTATGCAGGCAGTTCCTGGAGAATGAAGGAATTGATACCTTTAAATGGCCCCCATGCTCGCCTGACCTAAATCCAATAGAACACCTCTGGGATATCCTGTTTTGGTCCATCCAATGCCACCAGGTTGTATGTCAGACTGTCCAGGAGCTCAGTGATGCCCTGAAAAAAGACAAAAGTCCATCGCTATTTGAACCACTGATGTATTTCTACATGGTGATCATATTCCCCCCCCCCTTAATCTCCTCTTCTCAAGAGAGAATAAATTCAGTTCCTCTAATCTTTCCTCATAGCTGAGCTCTCCATGCCTCTTATCAGTTTGGTTGCCCTTCTCTGTACTTTCTCCAGTTCCCTAATGTTCTTTTTGTGAATTGGTGCCTAAAATTGCACTGCATATTCCAGATGAGGTCTTACTAATGATTTGTACAGGGGTAATATGATATCTCTCTCTCTGGAGTCTATACCTCTTTTAATACAAGTGAGGATTTTTCTCGCTACAGAAACCGCAGCTTTGGCATTGCATGCCATTATTAAGCTTGTGATCTACCAGAACTCCCAGATCCTTCTCCACCATTGACTCCCCCAGTTGTACTCCCCCCTAGTATGTATGATGCATGCATATTCTTAGCCCCCAAGTGCATAACCTTACATTTATCAACATTAAACCTCATTTGCCACATAGTTGCCCAATTAAACAGTGCATTGAGATCGGCTTGTAAATTGGAGACATCCTGTAAGGACAACCTGGGAGAAAATATCCCAGGACACTGTCATCTCATTAGGAGCATGCCCTGACGTTGTCAGTCATGCATACAAGCATGTGGGGGCCTTAAAAACTACTGAGCACCATTTTGAGCAGTGTATTATTACAATGCTGATGTTCTAAACGTTGTAATAATTAATGAATAATAAAAAGTGTGACCATAGAACTCATTTAACACAGCTATCCAGCCACTAATGGGCAGGCATTTTTAATTTTTATTTTATATTTTAAGTTGGCCTATGTGAATGAGAACATTTACCAAATGTAATATAGGTATTATCCCTGTTTGACTGTATAAGGAGAATACACTTTAAAGAATAAGTTTACCTTTTTTAACATGTCACACCCGTATTCAGGGGTGTAACATGTTACTGTTGCAGCAGCCCTCCACACCCACTGTCAACATTTTTAAAAAGAATTCAGAGTTCTTTGAATGGGTGAACTACATGTAGCACCAGCCACTTGTAGTTCTCAATGAACTACCAGGACACTGAGTGCTCTAGGTAGTTCATTGATGCTTCCTGTCACTGTGTAACTGCCTGTCCATACAAGGTACATACAGACAGCTTATAATGACAGTCTGCAGGAGCCTCACTGATAGCTTTTTTCCTTAAAACAAAATTGAACTCCTTTTAAAGGCTTTAAAAGCTTGCATGAAACCTTCAAAGTTGAACTCCTTTTAAAGGCTTTAACAAAGCTGAAACTTTGCTTTGAAAAAGTTTTCTGAAAGGTTGGTGCTTATACTGCTGTTATACAAGCTGAAGCCTATTTGTGGTAGACCTTAGATGGTGGTCACTGGACAAAGTCATCATTGAAGGATTTCCCCTCTATGCCTGTTTAGCGACCGCTCAAAATTTAGAATTTCATTTACGTCCCTCTACCAGTGATGGTAGTCACCAGGATAAATAGATTAAATCTACCCATCATGGATCGAGATAGTAAAAACCTGAAAGTCTTTTTGCAAAGTGTGTTGGGCTGCCTTTTAAATAAATGGCATTACATTGCACCAGTAAATTTAGTGCTTATGTTTTGGTTGGCTTTACATATAGTTGGGCATGTTTTACGAAGTATGTATATGTGGCTGTGTTGAGAAATGTTTTTTCAATATTGCTGTTGTAAAGTGTAGAGTAACTTGATAAATTTTGTTGTATGTATACAATGACAATAAAGTATTCTCTTTTTTTTTTTTTTTTATTAGATAAACATATTTAAGATTTCATTTTTATTTCAGATGGTCAGTTTACTTTTGTCACGAGGTGCCAACATTAATGCATTTGATAAGAAAGACAGGCGAGCGATACATTGGGCAGCATACATGGGTATGATTATCTATACCCTATTATCTTTATGCTGATTGCAGTTTCCTAAGTTTTTGTGTAGTGTTCTAGCACAACAGAAAAAAAAAAAACTTACGGAGACACATTTCTTTTATTTGTCAGGTCATATTGAAGTTGTTAAATTGCTTGTGACTCATGGAGCAGAAGTAATGTGCAAAGACAAGAAATCGTACACACCACTCCATGCCGCAGCCTCAAGTGGGATGATCAGTGTTGTCAAGTATCTTTTGGATCTAGGAGTTGATGTAAGTGAAAGGCAAGAAGTGTTTCCACACCTTTTCAATGGAGAGAAGAAAATATTAGTTTTCTGAAATGTTGCATGTATATTGGTAGAATCCATAAAAACAATTTTATGCATTAAGAGTGTTCATACAATCTTTAGGAATGGTTTCATAAAGAAAATGGGAACACTACATCCAGCTGAGTGATCATTTTGCTTCTCTGTCAGAAAGCATCTCCAAGGCTGTTAAAGCATTTGGTGTGGCAGTGCTGGCTTTGGCAACCCATTGCTTTTAAGGGTTTCCCAAGGCTATTGGAACACTCAGAGCTGCCTTTTCATTAGCCTTGAAGCTGTTTTTGACAGTACATCTTAGTTATACAGAGGAGACTTCTGCCATACCATAATAAGATCAGCTGGTTTAGATTCCCAGTACTTTAGGAAAGTGCAAAACTGATCCTTTTCTATTGTCATATTACACCTTAAGCTTTTGTATTATTACTATTAGGGCAGCATAGTGGCTAGGGCAGCACAGTGGCTAAATGGTTAGCATTTATGCCTGGCAGTACTAGGTTCGCTGGTTCGAATCCCAACCCCAGCACCACCTCCCTGGAATTTGCATGTTCTCCCTGTGACTGCGTGGGTTTCCTCCGGGTACTCCGGTTTCCTCCCACACTCCAAAGACATGCTGGTAGGTTAATTGGCGCCTGTCTAAATTGGCTCTAGTATGAATGTGAGTTAGGGACTTTAGATTGTACGCTCCTTGAGAGTTAGGGACTGACGTGACTGTACAATATATGTATGTAAAGTGCTGCGTAAATTGACAGCACTATATAAGTACCTGAAATAAATAAATTACCTTTACTACCTTGGACTGTACTTGATTAGAAGAGTATTGAATCTTCTATGTTTTTTTGTGATAGTCACTGGTAAAGTGCAATAGGTTAAATTCACTATGGGAGGTCAGTTATTACGTATGTTCTTTACAGAAACTGCTGATATTTTTTCTCATGTAAAGATAACAAAATTAAAATGCTGAATTTTCTCATTTACAAAATACTGACCAGATCAGGAATCTGGTTGTTTTAGAAAAATAGTTTCACTTAAGCTCTAGTTTTCACAAGACTCGTTGTGTCTTGGCTCTAAATAGTGGCTCTCTGTTTAGTGTAATATGTCTTGCCATTATATACTTGCAAAGGATGGGGAATTTTATGGCTATTTCGCTCACAGAAGTTGTGTGAGCCAATGTTGCCTCTTATTTACATGAAGGTATTAATAATAGTAGACTTTTAAATAGTGTATACCAGGTCTGGTTTATTGAAATAAATATTTCTAAACATTGTACTTTAAAGACAATATTGGACTTGAGTGCACTTTAAATTTCTTTTTCCTGTTTTTTCCCTCTTCAGATGAATGAATCAAATGCGTATGGAAACACACCTCTTCATGTGGCCTGCTACAATGGTCAAGATGTGGTTGTGAATGAACTCCTAGATTGTGGTGCTAATGTGAACCAAGTCAATGAACGGGGTTTTTCTCCTCTCCACTTTGCTGCTGCTTCAACACATGGAGCGTTGTGTCTGGAGCTTTTGGTCTGTAATGGTGCAGATGTAAATATTAAGGTAAAAAAATTTTCTGGTGTAAAAGAAAAAAAAAAAAAAAAAAACTGCCCTGCATACTGTTGATTACATCATTGTTTTAAGAAAGTAGTAAAGCCCAGGATTCTAGACTGCTAAACTGGAATCTTCCTTGGAAACTCTGGTGGACTTTAAAGTAACAAAGCAAAACTACAATTTATCAGAGCATAACAAACCAAAGGCACTGTTTTAGTTCATTTTTGATATTCAAAGCAAATTCAACCATCCATCCATATTTCCTATACTTTGTTTTACTGGGAAATCACTTAGAAAAATACCCCCTAGCATTTCTGGCAATGGTCATCTTGAATAAAGGCAGACAATTCATGTAGCAATTACTTTCTGCTCTTAGCTCAGACATAAAAGCAAGCGAAGTGTGCTAAGCTGAGAAAACACCTCCTCCCCTCTTGAGGACTTCTGGATGTATGACATCATTTGCCTAGGCATGGAAACTAGGAAGTAACAAAAGAAATGTAAAAAAAAAAACTGTTGAAACAAGTTAATATGATATACTTTCCTATCTATTTGCTGATGCTAGCAGAATAAGGATTCAAAATAGTCAATGTAGATTGAGAAGGTGCCGTTTCCCTTTAATGGCCCTGTGATGTATTTATAATGAAATATTTACTGTGTTTTTTTGTTTTGCCTCTTTGTACTGTCCCCTGTAAGCCCCCAACCTCTTCATTCCCTCCTCATTCCGTTGAAATTGAACAGTGCATGTTAGTTGCAGCCATATGCACTGCTCTATGCACTCTTCAAATCCTGTAGTCTCTATTCCATCCTAAGCAAGCGAAAATGGGTAAGTTCTTACATACAGTGGGACCATGGAGAAAGAACATAATGAGCCTCTAACTGGAGGTCAGATCACACAACCCAAAAAACTGAATTTGGAGGATGCTGGGAAGACTTTTTAGATTGATATAGACATATATAGATTTTATATTTATATATATTTTTTTTTTTTAAACTAGAAGTTTGTGTCACTTTAAAAGTATTACACTGTACAAAGGTGCCTTGCCACTGATGCATTGATTTCCCATCTGTTTGCATTTGCATAAAAGCTAGGCTGGGAAAGATTTTTACTTAAGTTCAGTAACCCATAGCAGTCATTCACAGTTCCATCTTCCAGTAGTGACCTTGTTAAAAGATTACTTGTATTAAAAGTTACTGCCCTTTTATGTGCAATTGATGGCCTTTGCGTGGGCTTGTCTTGTTGCTCCTGTTTTTTTTTTTTTTTTTTTTTTAATGTTTATAAACTAATAAAAATAATTGAAATACAAAAGTTACTGCACAGTACTATTTGTAGTTGCAAATAAAGACCTCTGTGTCTGAAGACATATGGATCTGTTCTATATTGTCAGATAATATTTTTGCTTTTCCCTCGTTGCTGACTTTATAGTGTCTTTGTCTTCAAATTGTGTTTGCAGCTGATATGCCATAATGGATCTACTACCATTTGTTTTTTTTTTTCTGCAGGCTTCAATTACGCCTGTGCTGAATCCTTTTGTCAGTGATATCTGCTCCACTAGCACTGAGTGTACTACATCAAGTCAAAGATGTGGTTTCTTGTGGGGTTCAATCCTAAGTGCATTTTATAAAAGACCAAAATTAAGTCAAAGCTGACCTACTTTTCATGCACTGCATGGATGACTTGACTTGAAAATGCATTTGGGAAGTGTGTTAAACATACAGCACATTTATTATGGTTGAACAAGCTTACTTGATATTCTGAAAATACTTAGGAGTTTGTCATTTTGCTTGACATGAGAAAGGCTGCTGTGCATCTGAGGAGTAGTGTCTTATTTTCGGTGTTAAAAAGCTTAGCTTTATAGGTATTAAGCAGTCTGTAGTTTGTGATGCAGCTGTCAATTACAGTAGGTTTTTGCAATGTTAATTCCTATAAAAGTGGGATACAGTAGGTACAGAAAATGATTGCATCCTGGCTTTTTATTATTTTTTTTCTTCTCTCTCACTTTTCTGCTTCAGAAGACACTAAAATAGCATTTTGTTAGGGCTGGGGTAAACTTGTCACAAACTGAGGTAATGATGAAAATATGCATAAGCTAAGGTTACCTTTAGTGAAAACTACATGTCAACCTTGTAAAAGTTTTGATTTTGCTGGGCTTCCATTTGGAGACCAGTATAGAGGCTGAGGAGAGCAGACAGTTTATTATTTCTAATAAAATTAAAGTGGTTCTAAAGTCAAGACTTTTATTACCTTAAAGCGGAAATTCACCCAAAAGGGGAAGTTTTGCTTGTCTGCATCCTCCCTCCTTCCACTGCCACATTTGTCACTTTATGGGGGGGACTGGTTTTGAAAGGTACCCGCTTCCACTTGCGGTCAGATGCACCACGGTGATGTGAACCAGAAGTTTGGCCCCCACCGTTCCCTGCGGCCTTGTGGGACACTTCACAGGTCCCTGAAGACTGACCCATCCACAAAGGGCAGCGTGGAGTAGGAAACTGGCTGTGAACCCTCAGGGCTTCACTTCCAGTTTCCCTTACTTAAGATGCTGGCTCCTGCACTCAAAGCTGAAGAATCCACTTGGGTGAGGACATCACTGGATCCTTGGACAGGTAAGCGTCCTTATATTAAAAATCAGCAGCTACAAATACTGCAGCCCGGAGCCTCACTTTAATGCATTCCCTGCATTAAGATAACAAAATTTACCAGTTGTATGGATGCCTTCAATAAATACTTACCTGAGTCCTCGATCCAGTGCTGTGCCCATCTACAGCGGCACTCTCCCCTCTCACAGGACACAGAGACGGCAGCAGTAGCCATTGGCAATGGACTCTTGATATGCAACTTTCTCTCGATATTACTTCTGCCTATTTATTTTACCATACACATTTGATCAGTTGCTAGTGGGAAAACATGTGTTAGTGGATTTTGAAAAAACTGTATTGTTAACAATACTCTTAACACCGCAAACCGCCATCTGTATTGATCCTATGGGCAGTATAAACTGAGCCAAATTTATTTAAATGCCCATATTACATAAACTATTATTGAGCAACTTGCATGCAGTCTTTTTGTCAGAATTCTTTTTATATGGTCCAGTGAATTCCAGTAACGTGCTGAAATGCAGAAACTGATGCATATACACATGTATACAGTGTGGATATTTTAGAGTTGTTAAACTTTGTGACAATATGCAGCTTTTTTTTTTTTCTATCAGAATTTCATTTTTTGTAGAGTAAAGATGGGAAGACTCCTCTTCACATGACTGCCATCCATGGTCGCTTTTCCAGGTCCCAAATAATTATCCAGAATGGTAATTCATTTAGTTTTGAGCCTGTTTTGTTTAACCCCTTCCCACCAAAGGGTAAAACAAATGTTAATGTCTAAGCACAATTTTGCTACTTTGACGTGTTAGTTAAACCGTACATATCATCACAACTGCTTTGTGCATCCAGGTGGTTTATACCTTGTTTTGTTTTTGTTTTTTTCTTTTTAAATTAAAAAAAAAAAAAAAAACTGGCCCAAAATCGTAAAAATCTGTTTAAAATTTAGCTGTATATTTCTTGCTACTACCATAACCTACCACCAAAGAACAATTTAGATACATTCTCCTGCTCCTAGCGGTCTCAGCGATGCCACATATGTGCTTGTTAGCTGTTGTATGTACTCGTAGTACAGCCCAGAAACAATAGTGCGCATTTTGCTTTTTCTTTTTATCCTACCTAAAACACACTGACACTAATACTAATTGAAAACAATTAAAAACAAAATTACTGATATTGACCTTTGACCCCAACACTAACCCTGGCACTGACACAGATCAAACCTTGATCTAGGTTTTTTTTTTTTTTTTTTTTTTTTGTTTTGTTTTTTCATTTCTTTTCCTCTCTGCAAGAAGAGAGAGACCATGTATCTCTCTCCTCCATTCAACGAAAAAGAAAAGATGGATGCCAACTTCAAATCGACTGATCATTGTGATAGCCAGTCAGAGGCTATCACAGCATTCAGGGTACCCAGGATCGGGAGATCCGGGTCCCATACGTTAGTACGGAACCCGGGGCTCCCAGTGAGCTTGGTCTCTGTGCTGGGAGTGCACCGTGCTGCGCACTCCCAGCACGTAGACAAATTGTGGCCCCATGTTAAAAAGCCCAGTCCAGTGGGGCCACATATATGCCTATGTTTGTCAGGAAGAGTTGAAATGACCTTTGGAGTTTTACTGTTAGCATGGAGCCAGAATTTTATGAAAAGTGCTAACTCCAATACTACTACTGATTTTGTAACTGACATAGCATTAAAGGAAAAATTAAGTGGTTACAATTTTTTTGTGTTCCGTAATGTTTTTATTAAGGTATCAATGTACATTTACAACAGCCTATTAAGTATGTTATACTGAAACAGGAGAAAACGAGTAATTTCCAATTGTAACAAGACCACCATTCCTTGATGGTTGAAATCTCAGTTCAAAAATAAACCTCAGGGTAAATAGGTTATTAGAACAAGAGCATCAAGAGGTCATCGTGTTGACCAGAAGTACTGTAGTAGGAGATGACCCTCACATGAGGGGGGTGAATGGAACGTGGGAGGTCTGTAGTTTCAGTGGTTACATTTTTATTTTTTTATTTTTTTTACTGCATACTAAAGAAGTAAATTTATGGTATGTGACACACGTGGATTTGATAATGACACTTTCAATTAATTTCACCCCTGTAAAGCTGAAATACCACAGATTATGGAGCCTTATATTTAACTATTTAAAATTTTGTTTTTAAGTTTTATGGATTTGCCATTTTTATGTTTATATCAGCACTCAGTTGTGGTGTGACATAAATGATTCAGCTTTACATGTCCCATATAATCTGTAAATGAGGATAGGAATTCTTTGAAAGATCAGACATTTCAAGATAAATGACTGAGGGCGTTTCCTTATTTTTCATTGGTCTATACAATCCTTACCAGTGCACTATAAAGATAATCTCACAAAACATGCACTAATAATCTTGTTTACTGATCTTCCATCTAGCAAGTTACTTCATGAATATGAGTGCTGAATCATGTTAAATCCTCTCCAATTGATTTAAGTAAAATGCTGTTTTATGTGTAATGAGCTAATGGAGTGTAATTTTTTTTTTTTTTCTTATGTTTTTGTTTATTCTCAGGGATAAAACAAAATGTACTTTTTCAAAAATATAAGAATTATTGATGATTATTAAAGGTGTAAAAAGCATGTTATACTTACTATGTGCAATGGTTTTGCACAGAGTTGCCCCGATGCTCCCCTTCTTAGGTTCCTCGTTGGCTCTCCTGGCTCCTCCCTCCTGCTGAGTGCCTCCAGGGCAAGTCGCTTGCTCTGGGGGCACTCATGCTTGCTCGCTCCTGAGACCTGCTCAGTGTGTGTATAAGACCCCGCCCCTGCTCCCACCTTACTGGCTGCCAATGGCTCCCACTGCTGTGTCTGAGCCAATGAGGAGAAAGAGACCCGGGAGAGCAGCTGCTCTCGTGCATAGCGCTGGATCGCGATCAAGTTTAGTCTATGTGTTGAGGGGGCTGCGGGGGAGATTGTACTGAAGATTTTTTAACCTTCATGCATAGAATGCACAAAGGTAAAAAAAAAACTTCTGCCTTTTAGAGTCCCTTTAAGGGTTCATTTTCACGCGTTTGGTGCGCTATATTAAGCTGCTGTACCAAAATCCACTTTTTTTTTTTTTTATATAGAACTAAATAGCTAAAGTTCAAATTTACACTGAGCCCCGGTTCACAGTAATGCATTGTGGCAAACTCAGCAATTCCTTTGCGTTTCCCACACCACATAGTAATCGCACTGTGTTCACGCAATGTGCTGCGGGTGTGAGTTAAAAATGAACGACATCCTAAAAGCAGGTCACAAAACGCAGTGCATTTGCCTGAACCAGCTCGCATCTGTATAAACACCCATGCAATCCAATTGCAATGTGGACAAAATAGCTGCTTGCACCTTTTTCGTGCGGATGCGGTGTGATTTGAGCCATTCAAAATGAATCACGTGTGGCATGCAGTGTGGACCTACACTAACACAAGTCATTGATGCTCCAGTCTCACCATCTTTCTATGACTAGTCTGTTCTAATGGCATTGTGCATAATTTCAGCGAGACTACAGTAATCTACTTCCGTTGTATTTTTTTGTGACACCAGTGTCATGGGTGCACATTGTGTTATTTTTGTGTAAACAAAAGCAAATGTATCCCAAAACCATAAAATTTCCCTTTAAGCAGTGTTTTTCTTGAAGCTTAAATCATCCGCTTTCTACAGTATATGGGTAAACACCCACCAGCCCACCTACACACACTCGCACTGCTTGTGAACAGAGCATCTAAAGCAATGTTTCCTTCATGATTTCCTGCATACCTCCTTATGTGTATATTCAATTTCTTCCCTATGTCTTTTGGTAAAATCGGGCATATGTATATGTTTGACAAAGTAATAAGAAGACCAATACTCCTAAAGTATACCTGTCATGAGGTTAGTAAAGGAGCTGCCATTTCCTACCACCTTATTAAAAGGGACTGCTCAGCACAAGATGATTATGGAGGCTCACACTGAACATTCCTTCTAAAAAAAAATTGTACATGCCTAGCTGTCATGCTAACGCTCTTGTGCCAGTGCATTAAAGTGTAAGTTGAAGTACAATAACAAGAGCTACCATCCCACTCCCTTCCCGTCTCAGCATCAAAGTTGCTCAAATTTTTACACTTGCACGTTTTTTGTTTTCCCCAGCTTTCAACATATCGACCTCAGGGACAACATGCTTGCTGCCTAATATATCCCACCCACTTTCAGATCCCGTTGTCACAAGATAATCAGTGTTATGTACTTCACCTGTCAGTGGTTGTAAAGTTACTGCTGATCGGTGTATATACATTATAAATGCTTTATATATATATATATATATATATATATATATATATATATATATATATATATATATATATTTTTTTTATTCAGTGGCTTAGGGTGGGAGTGGAAACTCCTGATGAAGATGGGGGGTGGCGGCTTGGGTGGAGCATTGACATAGTCCTGTGCACAATGCATGCAAAAATGCACTGTGAGGAGCTGAGCAGAAGTCAGAGAAACAGCAGTACACTTATCTTCACAGTAATTAGCTGTGCAGGGGGATGTGTCAAAAGAAATATGACCAGTGGAGTACAGGCAGGCTGTGCTCCCAAGTAGAATGCAAAGAATAAAACTGATCACACTGGGATGTGCTTTCATACCCGGTGTATTCAGTTTGAAATAGGAAAGCAGGGGAACTGGCAGGATCACCAGTTATTTCACACAAGTAAAGCAATGCAAAGAGAACAGGATAATTTTTAATACAAGTACAATGTAACACAGAAGCATATCAGAAATATTAAATTGTGGGCTAATACACTAAGTGTATTTCATGTTGCCGTCTGAATATAGACCATTTGTTGGTGTGTGATTTGATCGTCCTGGTCTGTAACTGAATTACTGTCTTGCCCTGCTTGTCTGTAGCCATCCATATTCTCTCATAACACATGATGGAAGCTCTGTTTGTTTTGGGGAGCAGAGGGTTGGGTTTATTTTTTTTATTTTTTTTTTTAGACCTGTTCAGTTAAAACAGCTAAGAAGCAGTAGGCACACAGGAGTGTTGACTCCTACAAGTATGTGATTGCACATAATTTATTATTCTCCACAGAAAAGATTCCTTAAACTAAATGCACAGCAGTAAAATCAGTCTGTAGATGCAGTAAAGCATGCTTGTTATATTCATTATGGAACCTAAGGGGGTTATTCCTCTAAATTGTGTAAAAAGGCTGTTTGATCCTGTCTTCTCTGATCTTTCCCCTCTTCTACTGTCCCCAATCCATCTGCTGATAGTATAGAGCTCTAGGAGTTGCTCTGCACATGCTCAGTTTAGTGTGTATTTCAAGAGGTTCCCCCCCTTGGAAGGTGCATGCAATTGTCAAAGGGCCAATCAGTGCTGTCCAAACAGAGGGTCAGGGATTATGGAGCCTCATAGGACAGTCAGAGCAGAATAAAAACTCCTCCTACAAGTTTTAACCAGTGCTCAGCTGGATACTGATCACACGACTGCTATATACTGCTGATGAGAAAGCATTTAGAAGTTTAGATTTACTACAATAATTGCATTTACGTGTTGTGTAAATACTGATATAATGAATGCAGGGTCTTGGGTTTAGTAACACTTTAAATTGCACAGGGTTTATGTTCTGTGGTCAGTTTACTTACAAACCATGATTAGCAGAGTTATTTATGATACTATTTGCAGAGACAAACCAAAATGTTTGAGTTATTTGCGAGCATCTCTGCTTGTGTCGGGTATGGTGAGCTTCTCTGGGGAACATTAGAAGTAGCTGAAAAGTTTTAAGCTAATTGGCCAATTCCTGAGATTTATTTAGTATTTTCATTGATTTTTTTTTTTTTTAAGGCAGACAGAAGTATCTTATTTACACTTGCAACAAACATTACTTGATGCATGCCATTTATTATTTTTCCAACCACAGGAGCAGAGATAGACTGTGAAGATAAGAATGGAAACACACCATTGCACATAGCAGCTAGATATGGCCATGAGCTCCTCATTAACACTTTAATTACCAGTGGTGCAGATACAGCAAAGTAAGTGGTAGATACTTCAGTAAGTATTCTTGTTGTATGTTCCTTTGTCACAGCGCTGAAAAGTCACCATACTCAAATGAATGAATTTTCAGAAATTGGTTCATGTTAAAAAAAAAGTTATGTAGATAAATATATAACATTTTAGGGAAAATGAGAGTGGAAAATATTTTAAGTGCACTTTAAAGTAGAGCTTTAAAAAGCTTTTTTTGGATAGAGTAAGGGAGAGTTATGAACCCCTCTCTCATAGCTAAAACATGAAATAAGAGGAAATCTTCTTTCCTCAGAATGTACCAAACTTTTGATTTGGCCACTCCTAATGTTGCTGCTATCTCTCTGATGGATTTGTTTAGTTTTTGAAACCTTACAATGGTCTGTTTCACTTGCATGGACAGCTCCTTTGAACGTATGATGAAGGTTCAGAGCAATAGATTCCAAATGCAAATACCACACTTAGAATCGACTTCAGACCTTTTACCTGCTTAATTGATGAAGAAACAACGGAGTAGCCCACACCTGGCCATGAAACAGCTTTTGCTTCAATTGTCCAATTACTTTTGGTCTCTCGAAAAAAGGGGGGAGAGCAGTAATTCCTAAACCCTTCTTCTAATTTTGATGTACATATCCTCAAATTAAATCTGTGAGAGTATGCATTTTCAGCCCATATCCATTATATAACTATAGCTTGAATATGTTTTGGTAAATAGCTGAAAAAAAACCTAAAATTGTGCTTGTGTCCAAATATTAACGGACCTAACTGTATTTCAGTTTTTTTTAGGTTACTTAATTTTTTAGACCCGGCCCAGCAATTTTATTAAACCTAAAGGTTTTCTGTCTTTATTATATTTTGCTTAACCCTTTTGTACCCCTGAGGGTACATTGATGTTTGGATACCTAGGCCAGGTTTAGCAGCATCAGTGCATATCTTTAATTTCCACCCAGGTCAATTCTGGCATTTTTCTCCTACATGTAAAAATCATGTAATTGCTAAAAAAAAAAAAAAAGTACTCCGGATCCCCAACAATTTTTTATTTTTACACTGTTCATTTTTTTTAATCACTTTTATTCCTATTATTATTTCATTATTTCAGGTACTTATATAGCGCCATCAATTATGCAGCGCTTTACACATATACAGTTGCAAGAAAAAGTATGTGAACCCCTTGGGATTACGTGGAGTTTTGCATGAATTGGGCATAAAATGTGCTCCGAACGTCATCTAAGTCACAACAATAGAAGAACACAGTCTGCTGAACATAATACTACACAAACATTAGATGTTGCCATGGTTTAATTGCACATACCATGTAAACATTCACAGTGCAGGGAGGAAAAAGTATGTGAGGCCCTAACTTAATGACTTCTCCCAGAGCTAATTGGAGCCAGGAGTGAGCCAACCTTGACTCCAATCAGTGTGTTGATATTGGATGTGTTGCTGACAGCTGTCCTGCCCTTAAAAAACACACACCTGTTTTGGGTTTACTGGTTTCAAGAAGCACTGTCTGATGTGAACCATGCCTCGCAGAAAAGAGCTCTCAGAAGACCTACGATCAAGAATTGTTGACTTGCATGAAGCTGGAAAGGGTTACAAAAGTATCTCCAAAAGCCTTGATGTTCATGTGTCCACGGTAAGACAGACTGTCTACAAATGGAGAAAGCTTAGCACTGTTGCTACTCTCCCTAGGCGTGGTCGTCCTGTAAAAATGACTGCAAGAGCACAGCGCAGAATGCTGCATGAGGTAAAGAAGAATCCCAGAGTGTCAGCTAAAGACCTACAGAAATCTCTGGCACATGCTAACATTTTTGTTGACACATCTACAATAAGGAAAACATTAAACAAGAATGGAGTACATGGGAGGACACCACGGAGGAAGCCATTGCTGTCCAAAAAGAATATTGCAGCACGTTTGAAGTTTGCAAAAGAGCACCTGGATGTTCAACAGCACTACTGGCAAAATATACTGTGGACAGATGAAACCAAGATTGAGTTGTTTGGGAAGAACACACAACACTATGTGTGGAGAAAAAAAGGCACAGCGCACCAACATCAAAACCTCATCCCCACTGTAAAACATGGCGGAGGGAGCATCATGGTTTGGGGCTGCTTTGCTGCCTCAGGGCCTAGACCAGTGATGGCGAACCTTTTTGAGCCCGAGTGCCCAAACTGCAACCCAAAACCAACTTATTTCTTTCAAAGTGCCAACACTGCAATGAAACCTGAATATCGAGCTTTTGGTTTAGAAAAAACAACTCGTACAGTAGTGCAAACTAATTAACAGTACAGGGATGATGACCAGAGACTGCGGACAGTACAGGGATGACCAGAGAGCGGACAGCGGACAGTACAGGGATGACCAGAGACTGCAGACACAGTACAGGGATGACCAGAGACTGCGGACACAGTACAGGGATGACCAGAGACTGCGGACACAGTACAGGGATGACCAGAGACTGCGGGACACAGTACAGGGATGACCAGAGACTGCAGGACACAGTACAGGGATGACCAGAGATGACCAGAGACTGCGGACACAGTACAGGAGATGACCAGAGACTGCGGACACAGTACAGGAGATGACCAGAGACTGCGGACACAGTACAGGAGATGACCAGAGACTGCGGACACAGTACAGGAGATGACTGCGGACAGAGAGATGACCAGAGACTGCGGACACAGTACAGGAGATGACCAGAGACTGCGGACACAGTACAGGGATGACCAGAGACTGCAGACACACAGTACAGGGATGACCAGAGACTGCAGACACAGTACAGGGATGACCAGAGACTGCAGACACAGTACAGGGATGACCAGAGACTGCGGACACACAGTGACAGGACAGATGACCAGAGACTGCGGACACAGTACAGACCAGAGATGACCAGAGACTGCGGACAGTACAGGAGATGACCAGAGACTGCGGACAGCACAGTACAGGAGATGACAGCCAGGAGAGACTGCGGACACACAGGAGATACAGAGACTGACAGCACAGAGATGACCAGAGACTGCGGACAGTACAGGAGATGACCAGAGACTGCGGACACAGTACAGCGGACAGCACAGGAGATGACCAGAGACTGCGGACACAGCACAGGGATGACCAGAGACTGCGGACAGCACAGGGATGACCAGAGACTGCGGACAGCACAGGGATGACCAGAGACTGCGGACAGCACAGGGATACAGAGACTGCACAGGGATGACTGCTGACCTTTGGGGAGGGAGGGGGAGCGGGTACCTGAATTTGACAGGTACCCGCTCTTACTTCCGGAGAGTTTTTTTTTTTTATTATCTTACCTGTTCCTTTATCCAGCCGCGCGTTGTCTTCCCGGCTTCTGTAGTGTGGGCGGACAGCCGGATGCCCAGTGCGCATGCGCGAGAAGCGCTGCGCTTTGTGATTGGTCCGGCGGCTTCTGGGATCTGTCATGTGTCCCAGGTACTGCCTTACCATTCACAAAGAGCAGTGCTTCTTGTGCATGCGCACTTGGGACCCGGCTGTCACGCACACTACAGCCGGGAAGACAGCGCGCCGCTGGATTCTCCTGGCGTGCCCACAGATAAGGCTCGGCGTGCCGGCTGTGGCACGCGTGCCACGGGTTCGCCATCACTGGCCTAGACGAATTGTTGTCATTGATGGGAAAATGAATTCCAGAGTTTATCAAGACATTTTGCAGGAAAACGTACGACCCATCTGTCTGCCAACTGAAGCTCCGCAGAGGATGGGTGATGCAACAGGACAATGACCCAAAGCATACAAGTAATTCAACAAAACAATGGCTGCAACAGCACAGAATACGCCTTCTGGAGTGGCCCAGTCAGAGTCCTGACCTCAACCCGATTGAAATGCTGTGGCATGACCTTAAGAGAGTGATTCACACCAGACATCCCAAGAATATTGCTACACTGAAACAGTTTTGTGAAGAGGAGTGGTCCAAAATTACTCCAGATTGTTGTGCAGGTCTGATCTGCAACTACAGGAAACGTTTGGTTGAGGTTATTGCTTCCAAAGGAGGGTCAACCAGTTATTAAGTCCAAAGGTTCACATACTTTTTCCTCCCTGCACTGTGAATGTTTACATGTTATGTGCAATGAAACCATGGCAACATCTAATGTTTGTGTAGTATTATGTTCAGCAGACTGTGTTCTTCTATTGTTGTGACTTAGATGATGTTCAGAGCACATTTTATGCTCAATTCATGCAAAACTCCACGTAATCCCAAGGGGTTCACATACTTTTTCTTGCAACTGTATATTGTACATTCACATCAGTCCCTAACCCTCAAGGGGTGTACAATCTAAGGTCCCTAACTCACATTCATACATACACATACTAGGGACAATTTAGACAGAATCCAATTAACCTGCCAGCATGTCTTTTGGAGTGTGGGAGGAAACCGGAGTACCCCGGGGAGACCCACGCAGGCACAGGGAGAACATGCAAACTCCAGGCAGGTGGTGCCGTTGCTGGGATTTGAACCAACGACCTTAGTGCTGCCAGGCACTAGTACAAGAAATATAAACATCTTTTGTAATAGGATTAAGGCATGACAGGTCCTCTTTATGGAGAGATGTGGGGTTTATAAGACCCCACATCTATCCTCTATGCTGGAAAGCATGATATTAACAAAGAAAAAGCTTTTTAGCAAAAAAAGGGCAGTATTTACATCTGCCAGTGATGTCACGTCTGGCCTCCCAGGTTCATAGAGATGGCTGGGGACCATCTGGTCCACAGCCAGCTCTATGGTAAATCGGCACCATCAGCGGATCTGTTCTTCAGATCCCTGATCACACTGGAGAGCACGGAATGGAGAAGCGTGCCCGGGGTGATACTGTTGGCACCACTGGGTTCCACAAAAGTCAATTTGAAAAATTGACTGAGCTGGGTAGAAAATTCTTAGCCAAACAGGTCCTATCACACACGATCAGATGCAGTTACTGGGTATTCTGACAGCCCTGGGTGCCACAGGAAATTCTGATAGCTGGCTGGGAAAATCAAGTGATTTTCTCACATTCAGCTTGTGGGCTGAATGAGGAAAAATGTATTTGGCTAGTTTATGTATTCATACATGCTGTGCCTTTTGGAACAGAAAGTGAAGGTAAATCTCCCCAAAAGAACACAGCAAAAAATCCCGACTCCTGGTTTTGTAGAATTTTATTTAAATTACTTCTAGTTCAAATTTTTTTAAAATTTGTGTTGATGTTTGTGTTTGCGCCTTTTTTTTTTCTTGCCTCAGTGCGGCTCAGTGTATACAATCAATGGAGAATTGTGAGTGTTTTAGGGAGTTATGCACTCTAATCGCACAAATATGCTTCACAATAATGCTTCACAATGCTTCACAATAGAGTCCCAATAAAATATGATCTATTTCAGGCGAGGCATCCATGGAATGTTTCCTCTGCACTTGGCTGCCCTGAGTGGTTTCTCAGACTGCTGCAGAAAGCTCCTTTCTTCAGGTTAGTGTTAAGTGAAGCTGGGAGGATAATGTGATCATAAAATAGATTTTCAGTAATCATTTCCATGTTGCATTGATCATATGTGAAAATAACTTTTCCAGAAATATCTGCAAAATATCTTTCATTAATATAGCATAATAGATTGAAGAATTCTGAGGATGTAAGAAAGTGTTCTGTGTTACTAGTGAAAAGTATTCAGCATGTAACTAATGCATATTTGGTATAGTAATTGAAATTTTACTTGCCTGCTGCAGTAAGCAACTCATTTTGAGACCTAGAAATTTTGAAAGGACTCTCTGCACACTGCTATATACCCTTTCCTGCAAACTTTGTAAATAAATAAAATGGGGATTTTTAGTTCTCACACCATTTTAAGCTCTAGTTCACGCTGGATTTACACTTCACTTGAAGTCGCACAATTTCAAAGTCGGATGGCAGTGCGACTTCATAGACATCTATGCAACTTCATGCACAGATGTCTATGCAAGTCGCACCCCAAATCGGGAAAAGTAGTGCAGGAACGACTTTTCTAATCCGTGTGACTCCATCGAAAATCAGAGTTGCACTGATTAGAACAGTTCCATTGCTGATCATTGCATGCGATTTTGACCGTCAAATCACACGACAGTTCGAATCAGTGTGAACCAGGGTTGAGACTGTTCTGGGTTAAACTATGACATTTGATTTTAAGCAAGTTTAATTAATGTCATTAAAATAGAGTTTTTTCACATATCAAATCAAAAGGTTCAAAGGTTTTTAAACCTTTCTGGTGAAATGGATTCTATGGTGTACTTTTGTGAGTCTGTGACCAGGTTCTGTTTTAAAGGATCGCTAAACACAAGTAAAATTTACCTATATTGCAGTTTGCTTGTCTTTGGATGTGGTTGCTGCATTGGCTTCCATTTTTAAGGCTAAGGACATTTTCAACTTTGCAGTCAAATTTAAGAAAACTCCACTATGTTTTGTGTGTTCCTATTCACATAGGATGCTTAAAATTAACATTTTCTTACCTTTTTAGATGTTTCTAAAGAGAAGGTGTCATGGCTGATTCTAAGAATTTCAGGACAGACTTTGTCAGTAAGGGATGGTCTCAAATATCCCTCATTAACATAAAATTCAGCAAGGCAGTTTCTACATTTCTTGTTCTTCTCTAGGACAGTCAGTGGTCAGTGTTCAAATCTAGTTTATAGCTGGTAATTAAGTTTTGCTAACACAATACAGACAGGGTTAATTAGGTTAGACATTACTCCACAGCCCCTGCTAAACATTACAAAGCAGGGAGTGCAGGTAAGGATTTTTAAGTAAGTAAAAAGCGCCCAAGGTTCTGCTATATTATTGGGAACATGTAACAAATACAGAGTAGATTTTTTTTTTTTTAAATGTTAAACTTTCCTGCTCTGTGCAGTGGTTTTTCACAGAGTAGCCCTGATCCTCCTCTTCTCAGGTCCCCTGACGGCGCTCCTGGCCCTTCCTTCCTGCCGATTGCTTCCATAGCAAGCTGATTGCTATGGGGGTACCCAAACAGGCTCTCTCCTGAGCCACTGCTCTGTGTGCCCATTCACATACAGAGCATGGCTCAGCCCCTCCCGCCACTCTCTCATTGGCTCAATGGCTGTGATTGACAGTAGCGGGAGCCAATGAGGAGAGACAGTCCTGGGAGAGCTACTGCTCCTCATGCACATTACTTGATCAAGTGGGGGCTCGGTTAAGTATTTGGGGGGGGGGGGCTGGGTATTGTGGGGTAGTAGTGGCACACAAAGGGGTACACGCGCCCTACCCGCGCCACTATTGGCAGCTTGAGCTGTTGATCACCAGGTCCCGGACGGTGATTTCCTGCTGGCAATCGTCGAGTATGTAAACAATACAGATCTCTCCCCTGTCCGCTCCAGCACACTGTTTTGTATTGCTCTGCATAGCAATGTGCCTTAAAAGTCCAAACATTCTTTTCCCTCCCATGTGTAATCTCTGATGTAAACACAGCACAAGTGCTGCCAGGGGAATATGGGGGTAGAGTGAGCAGAGCTGTTCAGGGAAGAAATGAAGTGCCTTCAGCTAAGTGATTAAGAGCATCTTTTAGCCTGGGTTCACACTGATGTGGTGCGGAATTTGCAGTGGTTTATGTTGAATTCCGCACCGCATCACAATCGCACCCAGTTCATGTGAACCTCTGCGGGTGTGTGTGTTGACACCTCGAAATTGCAAAACACGGTGCGATGTACAGAATTGGATCTCATGTGTGTGAATACCCATGCGATACGATTCTTGTGCGAACCAAAAAAAGGGTACTACACCTTTTTGATGCGGTGCGATTTGAGCCATACTAAATATATGGCTCAAATCCCACTACACAGAATTCGCATGTGATTTGCACAGGAATGAGGTGCGGTTCCTGTACGAATCACATGCGATATACCGCACCGCACAAGTATGAACCCGGGCTTAAAGCTTATTTACTGCTTGCTAGAAAAAAGTAATTTCCTAAATTCCCATAACCTGGCCATAGGTTCACTTTAAAGTATAATTCCAGACATTTGTTTACCCTTGTATCTATTGGTAAAATATTGAACCTCTGCCAGGCTTTTATTGCTGTCTTCATCTGTACTGGAAATGTACAGTATATTGCTGATTTCACTGTAAGCTGAAATCTCAACTTGCATTATTATTTTTATTAATAATTTTAACATGCTTTTATTTTAACTAATACTTAGTGTTAGACACAAATTTTATGTTAACTGATACTTTGTGTTTGACACAATCTTGACACCAGTTTGGAAAAGCTGTACACTGACTTGACTCCTTTTTATGAATGAGCTTCTTGTTCAATACCTATTATATACTAATCTATGTTTTATATTTGTAGGCTTTGACATAGATACCCCAGATGACTTTGGCAGGACTTGTCTACATGCAGCTGCGGCTGGAGGGTATGTCTCAGTAACCTTAATACTCTTACAGCAAAAAGGCAAGCTGTAGAAAAAGGCACATAGAGAGGCAGCATAGATACATGGGATGTGCAGTTTGATGGATGAACTTGAAGTTCACTTTGTAAGTTCACTATTTAGTGCAGTGCCAGTTTATAACAGACTAGACCCTCCTATTCTTTACAGCCATGGATGCTGCCATCTTAGCCTCTGGTTGATCTGCAGTTGCCATGGTGCTGCACATGTGATCAGTTATGACACCAGCTATTTGATGGCTTGACAGTTCAGTTGAGAGCTAACATAAGCAATCATGACAGCTGTTATTCATGGCATGCCTTGAATGTAACTGTTTTTGGGAAATCTTTTAATTGGTGGGTTTAGTTCCACTATAAAACATTTGCATAAAAATTTTGAGTAGAAGCTTCTTTTTTAAGTTGTGAGAATATTGTAAAAAGGTTGCATTTATGTTTGTGCAAATATCACACTGACAGCATTTCTGAACATCACTGACAAATAAGACAATGTTTTTGCATTGGACAGGCATCTGATTTTCTCTGGTGATGCATTATTTACACTAGGCAAGAAGGTACTATGCTTGAGCTGGGGAATTTCAGCTAGTTTCTCAGGAACTGGTCGACATTCACTACATGGGTGGCCCTGTTGGCCACCTCCCACCTTACATCCGTCAACTGAAAAATCAAAGAAGCCAGGCAGCTAAAGAGCAACCGCATCCAGTTGGATGCAGCCGCTGTTCAAGTATTCCTGCAGATGCCAGCTGTCAGAATACGATAGCCATAGCTGGAAATTCCCCAATCTGTGCTGTATGCCAGGGGTGGAGGAATCTATTGGATGTTTGTTCATCCTGCAGGTTGAGTGAAAATAGCTTGAGTATGACAGGCCAAAATACTGCGGCCTCTCAGGATTTTGAATGGATACCTGTCAGCAAAAGTGCTTGGTTCTGTACTATAATGATTGGAACTGCATATCATTTCACTTTTAGTAAATGTTTTTATTTCCATGGTATTATACAGTTTCACTGTGATTTGTATAAATTATGCCTAAACGGTGAAGTTAGGGTTTGGTTTGTAAAAGTGCTAAAGTCTAATTTTTCAACAGCTGAAAACTGACATAACATTAGAACTGAAATCGTTACACTAGGTTAAATACACATACACTTAGGGCTAGTTCACACTAGATGCAGCCAGGTGCTTTTTGTTTCTACATCAAAAATGCATGCACAGTGTTTTCCATGTATTCCAATGGCCCTAGTTCACACCAGTGCAGTCAGTTCTAGTCAGTTTCTGGTGCAGAAAAAAAAAAGTAGAACATGCTGCATTTTTTCAGCACAGAACCATACTGGAACTTAGCAGACTGTGCCGAAACCGTATGTGGTGTGAACTGTAAGCAAACACGTATCCAGAGTGCGTTTTTGTGGTGTGAACTGGCTCTTAATATAAATTTGAAGCGAGAGAAATTAGTGGGCTTCTATTTACCTTTTATTGAAACTGTTCATTTCCTTGCTGTTGTGCTGACATTCTGGCTTCTTTACTCTCCAGGTCCCTAACCTGGAAAAAGTATACAGTGTGGAAAGTTAATAATGTCCTTATCAGTATAATTGTTCTGTGTCAGTGACTCAAAGTATAGAAGTCCGAAACGCGCATGGCATTCAGAATGGAGATGTTTCTTATGTTAAGTGTCCTTTATGGTCTATTCAAACTGGTGCGTTGCAGTAACTTTGAGCTCTTGTTCACACTGATGCGGTGCGTAATTCACAGCGTTTTCGGTGCGAATTCCGCACCGCATCAGAATCGCTCCCCGTTCATGTGAACCGCTGTGGGTGTGTATGTTAACTTAACACCACCGCGAAAGCGGTCCACAAAACGCGGTGCGATGTGCAGAATCGGATCGCATAGGTGTGAATACTCGTGTGATCCGATTCTACTGCGGACCAAAAAAAGGGTCCCGCACGTTTTTGGTGCAGGTGCGGTGCGTTGAGTCATACAAAATGGATGGCTCCAGTCGCACTACACACAAATCGCATGTGATTCGCACAGGAATGCAGTGCGGTTCCTTTGCGAATCACATGCATTATACCGCACCACATATATGTGAACCAAGGCTTACTGTATTTTACTGTTCAGTACCATTTGCTTTGCACTGCCATTCATTTAACACAGCACATAAATATACTTATACAGAAACTACCATATCGCCTGCTATACAGTGCACATAGCATGCAGTGCAATATGCTGCACTGCTGAAAATTATTCAGGTGTTATTTTTCATAAGTTAAAGTGTGCTGTCAGCCCATTTAAAATGAATGGGCTTCCTTAACAGAATAAGCCTTAACACACAAAATGTATTGCATCATACTGCAGTGAGTCGACCCTTACAGATAGATACCTGTGCCATTGCTGACCCTTCCAGCTAAAAATATTGTCTGCTGGTCTAGCTTTTACAATATACAATTTCTTCAGAATGAAGAAATATAGAAAATATTAGAAATGTACATGGATCAATAATTCATTCACTTGTATGTTTTGCTCAGAATCACAGTTCAGTTTTTGCACTTTTAAGATTTCATAGTTTTACGTATTTGATCTGAACATGCTGGTATTGGTTGTGTTTTTTCAGCCCTTTCAAAATCTAATTTTCAGGAACCTGGAGTGCTTGAATTTGTTGCTGAATACAGGTGCAGATTTCAATAAAAAAGACAAGTTTGGAAGGTAAGGTTGCGTTTACTTATGGGGCAAAAATCACATGGCTCTAGAGTTTCCCTGCAGTCTTTTGAATGCTTTTAATTCAGTTACATACACACATAAATTCCCTTTATTGTTGTCAGTGGGCAAGATGCTTGTTTCCTGACTCAGTCTTTAACATTGTGCTAATTGATCATTGTTTCTCAGCCATTGAGCCACAGTTTGACATTAGTCGGCATAAGGGCCTACAGGGATCACTTTGTCCCCGAGGAGCCACTGCTTGACAAGTTACAGCTGTTACATTCTCTGCAGTGCTGCACTGTTTAACTTGTTGCCGACCGCAGATAGCCGAATGACGGCTGCACTGCGGCCGGCCAGTTCTGAGTGGACGTCATATGACGTCCGCCCAGAACGCGCTCTCCTGGGGCGCGCACATCTCCGTGATCGCTGTGTCCTATGGACACAGCTGATCACGTGATGTGGTAAAAGGCCAATCACAGCGGCCTTTTACCACCTGATCAGCGGTGTCCAATGACACGCTGATCAGAGGGAAATGCAAGTGCCGGTTCTCGGCTGCACTTTCCTCACGCTGTCAGATCGTGAGGAAAGTACTGCCGAGAACCGGCAGTTGTCAGAGCGGGGATCGGCACCGATCATCAGGGCACTGATGATCAGTGCCCTGATGATCGGTGCCCAGCAGCAGTGCCACCCGCAAGTTCCGCCCACCTGTGCCCTGCAGTGCACCCATCAGCTCCGCCCACCTGTGCCCAGCAGAGCACCCACCTGTGCCCAGCAGTGCACCCACCTGTGCCACTCTGCAGTTTCACACACCTGTGCCCAGAAGTGCCACCTACCTGTACCCAGCGGTGCCACCCACCTGTGCCCACCCACCAGTGCTGCCCACCAGTGCCACCCACCAGTGCAGCCCAGCAGTGCTGCCAGTCAGTGCCCATCGGTTGTGCCAGTCAGTGCCAGCAGTCAGTGCCCAGCAGTGATGCCAGTCAGTGCCGTCTATCAGTACCCATCATCAGTGTCACCTATCGGTGCCGCCTATCAGTGCTGCATATTAGTGCCGCCTATCTGTGACACCTCATTAGTGCTGTCTATCAGTGCCACCTATCCGTGCCACCTCATTAGTACTGCCTATCCGTGCCCTTTAGTGCTGCCTATCAGTGCCCATCAGTGCTGCCTCATCAACGCACATCAGCGAAGGAGAAAAATTACCTGTTTGAAAAATTTTATAATAGAAACAAAGAAACTTTTTTTATTTTCAAATTTTTGGCAATTTTTTATTTATAGCGCAAAAAGTAAAGCGCCCAGTGGCGATTAAATACCACCAAAAGAAAGCTCTATTTGTGAGAAAAAAAATGATCAATATTTCATATGGGTACAATGTTGCATGATCGCGCAATTGTCAATCAAAGTGCGGCAGCGCTGAAAGCTGAAAATTGGCCTGGTAAATAAGGGGGTATAAGTGCCTGGTAGGCAAGTGGTTAATTACAATCTCTGTACTCTACTGATAGGCAGCGCCTATCTGGCAGGCTGCTCCACTGTACAATGCAATCGGGATTTGGGAATGGGGCGGAGGGAGTATGCGGGAGAGGCAAGCTGCAGAAGGGGGACCCCAGCAACAGGGAGCACACTGATCAGCAGTATAAGGGGACATGCTGAGCACCTGTTGACCACCAGTGTAAGGGGGCATACTGATTGAAGGTAGCATACTGACCTCCAACATAAGGGGACACTTAAAGTGTTACTAAACCCACAACAATAAAATCAGTCTGTATATGCAGTAAAGCATGCTTGTTATACTCACTGTGGAACCTAAGGGGTTAATCCTCTGTGGAAAAAGGATGTTTGACCCTGTCTTCTCTCATCCTCCCTTTCTACCACAGTCCCCAATCCTTCTGTTCATAGAACAGAGCCTTGGGAGCTAGCTGCACATGCTCAGTTTATTGTGTTATGCTAGAGAGTTCTTTTTTATTTTTTGGGAGAGTGCATGTGATCAGCACAGGGTCAATCAGCGTTGTCCAGACAGAAGGTCAGGGGTTATGCAGCCTCATAGAAAAATCGGGTTAGAATGTAAACGCCTCCTACAAGCTTTAACTAGTGCTCTGCTGGACCCTGATAGAAGTCACAAGACTTCTCTAACTGCTGATGAGAAAAGATATTTAGCAGTTTATATTAGCTAAAATGATTGCATTTCCATGTTCTGTGTACTGTGGGAGACTAACACTTTAAACTTGTAATCGCTGCACTCTGCAGGCTGTGCTATGCAATTACATAGCTCTGATTCCTCCACTCTGTTGTACCGAATGTGGCAAGTTTTACATTATAGTCCTGACTGCTGCACTGTATACTCTACAAGTCTTCATAATCCTATATACAGTACATAATCCTGTTCTTACTCATATAAACTATAAGCTTCAACTTTTTTTTTTTTTTTTTTTTTACACTGCTGGGATTTGGAAGAGGTTTTAAAGAATTTACTGGGCTCTGGTCTCACAAGAGTTGAAAACCATTGTACTGGAAAGTTATCAAGGGGCTTTTTAGAAAGTGAGCAGGTGCCAGACTGAATCTGCTGCTTGTAACCATGAGGATTGCTAATGGCATGACAAGCCAAAATTACTATGGATCTATTGGGTGAGATTTGCATTATTAAATGTTATATCAACAGATGTAACATTTTTCTGTGCAGATCATGTAAAAAAAAAAACTCAAACATTTGTAATTGTAATACTCTAATAAAGGGGTCTCCAAACTTTCTGAACAAAGGGCCAAACTTTAGGGGGCCAGACTGTGCCCAATGTGAGTAGAAAATGCTCTGGTGTCAATGGGAGTAAAGAGTGCCCCATTAGTGGTATGGGGGGGCATATTGTCCCATTGTTGGTATAATCAGAAGGAATAGTGCTCCATTGTTGGTGAGAAAATAAGTACCACAGCATTGGAGTCGGTGGGAAAAATAGCGCCCCACTGGCGGTGTCGTTGGGAGGAATAGCGCCCCACTGGCGGTGTCGGTGGGAAAAAATAGCGCCCCACTGGCGGTGTCGGTGGCAGGAATAGCGCCCACTGGCGGTGGTGTCGGTGGGAGGAATAGCGCCCCACTGGCGGTGTCGGTGGGAGGAATAGCGCCCCACTGGCGGTGTCGGTGGGAGGAATAGCGCCCCACTGGCGTATCGGTGGGAGGAATAGCGCCCCACTGGCGGTGGGTGGGTCGGTGGGAGGAATAGCGCCCCACTGGCGGTGTCGGTGGGAGGAATAGCGCCCCACTGGCGGTGTCGGTGGGAGGAATAGCGCCCCACTGGCGGTGTCGGTGGAGGGAATAGCGCCCCACTGGCGGTGTCGGTGGGAGGAATAGCGCCCCACTGGCGGTGTCGGTGGGAGGAATAGCGCCCCACTGGCGGTGTCGGTGGGAGGAATAGCGCCCCACTGGCGGTGTCGGTGGGAGGAATAGCGCCCCACTGGCGGTGTCGGTGGGAAGGAATAGCGCCCCACTGGCGGTGTCGGTGGGGAGGAATAGCGCCCCACTGGCGGTGTCGGTGGGAGGAAAAGCGCCCCACTGGCGGTGTCGGTGGAAGGAATAGCGCCCCACTGGCGGTGTCGGTGGGAGGAATAGCGCCCCACTGGCGGTGTCGGTGGGAGGAATAGCGCCCCACTGGCGGTGTCGGTGGGAGGAATAGCGCCCCACTGGCGGTGTCGGTGGGAGGAATAGCGCCCCACTGGCGGTGTCGGTGGGAGGAATAGCGCCCCACTGGCGGTGTCGGTGGGAGGAATAGCGCCCCACTGGCGGTGTCGGTGGGAGGAATAGCGCCCCACTGGCGGTGTCGGCGGGAGGAATAGCGCCCCACTGGCGGTGTCGGTGGAATAGCGCCCCACTGGCGGTGTCGGTGGGAGGAATAGCGCCCCACTGGCGGTGTCGGTGGGAGGAATAGCGCCCCACTGGCGGTGTCGGTGGGAGGAATAGCGCCCCACTGGCGGTGTCGGTGGGAGGAATAGCGCCCCACTGGCGGTGTCGGTGGGAGGAATAGCGCCCCACTGGCGGTGTCGGTGGGAGGAATAGCGCCCCACTGGCGGTGTCGGTGGGAGGAATAGCGCCCCACTGGCGGTGTCGGTGGGAGGAATAGCGCCCCACTGGCGGTGTCGGTGGGAGGAATAGCGCCCCACTGGCGGTGTCGGTGGGAGGAATAGCGCCCCACTGGCGGTGTCGGTGGGAGGAATAGCGCCCCACTGGCGGTGTCGGTGGGAGGAATAGCGCCCCACTGGCGGTGTCGGTGGGAGGAATAGCGCCCCACTGGCGGTGTCGGTGGGAGGAATAGCGCCCCACTGGCGGTGTCGGTGGGAGGAATAGCGCCCCACTGGCGGTGTCGGTGGGAGGAATAGCGCCCCACTGGCGGTGTCGGTGGGAGGAATAGCGCCCCACTGGCGGTGTCGGTGGGAGGAATAGCGCCCCACTGGCGGTGTCGGTGGGAGGAATAGCGCCCCACTGGCGGTGTCGGTGGGAGGAATAGCGCCCCACTGGCGGTGTCGGTGGGAGGAATAGCGCCCCACTGGCGGTGTCGGTGGGAGGAATAGCGCCCCACTGGCGGTGTCGGTGGGAGGAATAGCGCCCCACTGGCGGTGTCGGTGGGAGGAATAGCGCCCCACTGGCGGTGTCGGTGGGAGGAATAGCGCCCCACTGGCGGTGTCGGTGGGAGGAATAGCGCCCCACTGGCGGTGTCGGTGGGAGGAATAGCGCCCCACTGGCGGTGTCGGTGGGAGGAATAGCGCCCCACTGGCGGTGTCGGTGGGAGGAATAGCGCCCCACTGGCGGTGTCGGTGGGAGGAATAGCGCCCCACTGGCGGTGTCGGTGGGAGGAATAGCGCCCCACTGGCGGTGTCGGTGGGAGGAATAGCGCCCCACTGGCGGTGTCGGTGGGAGGAATAGCGCCCCACTGGCGGTGTCGGTGGGAGGAATAGCGCCCCACTGGCGGTGTCGGTGGGAGGAATAGCGCCCCACTGGCGGTGTCGGTGGGAGGAATAGCGCCCCACTGGCGGTGTCGGTGGGAGGAATAGCGCCCCACTGGCGGTGTCGGTGGGAGGAATAGCGCCCCACTGGCGGTGTCGGTGGGAGGAATAGCGCCCCACTGGCGGTGTCGGTGGGAGGAATAGCGCCCCACTGGCGGTGTCGGTGGGAGGAATAGCGCCCCACTGGCGGTGTCGGTGGGAGGAATAGCGCCCCACTGGCGGTGTCGGTGGGAGGAATAGCGCCCCACTGGCGGTGTCGGTGGGAGGAATAGCGCCCCACTGGGGGTGTCGGTGGGAGGAATAGCGCCCCACTGGGGGTGTCGGTGGGAGGAATAGCGCCCCACTGGGGGTGTCGGTGGGAGGAATAGCGCCCCACTGGGGGTGTCGGTGGGAGGAATAGCGCCCCACTGGGGGTGTCGGTGGGAGGAATAGCGCCCCACTGGGGGTGTCGCTGGAAGGAATAGTTCTTCGTATCAGTGGTAGAAATAGTCCCCCAAGAGCCAAATAAAGGCAAGCAAAGGACGACATCTGGCCCCCGTGCCACAGTTTGGAGACCTCTGCTCTAATAGATTGGTGGTCAACTTTCTCGATATAGGGAGCTTCAAAGGCATTGCATATAATCAATGAGTGTAATACTTCAGCAAGCTATAAGACTGCAGACATGCAACAGGAAATGCTTACTACAGGAGATGGTCAGACTATGGACTTTTCTATAATACATGGTAAGAAACTTTGAACATGCTGTAGGTGTTGTTGGAGACCTGCTTCAGGAGAAATGAATTGGAGACAGTACATGAGAATGGTAGAGATCACTGTTTTTACAGGTAGGAGGAAAATACAGATTGTCTGCAACAACCTAGATGGCTGCACAACAAGTACCTAAGGCTCACAGGCTTGCATCAGGGCTTTAAAACTTATAAAATTTTGTTTTCTCTTTTTTTCATATTCACTAATATTTTATTTTAACTGTGTATTCCTACTTTTTTTTTTCTTTTCTTAATCTGAAGAACACCACTGCACTATGCTGCTGCCAACTGTAACTATCAGTGCCTGTTTGCACTTGTGGGATCTGGAGCCAGTGTCAATGACCTTGATGAGAGGGGCTGTTCCCCACTGCACTATGCAGCTGCATCAGATACAGATGGCAAGTAAGTTGTTTTCATGCCTTGTATGTTCAGTATTTCAGCTTGCATTACATTTTCCTGAAGTTAGTGATTTCATGAGACTGATGCTATGTGCTGTGGAACCTTAAGCATTTGTCTTTGTGTTGATGAGAGAGAATGTGGCCTTTTAAGAATGGTTTTCTGGACTTATTCTCTATGCCAGTGCTGACTGTCACGCAGCCTCCTATCTCCACAAAGAATCACTTGTTTTCTCTCCATTCCCAGCCTTTTTTTGCAGTAATTTTCAGCCACGCTGAGGATATCTGTAATTAAAAGGGCAGCTCAATTCACTTTTCATAAAAAATATTGTTTGCACAGTTGAATCTTTGTACTTGAGTCTGATTTTATTTTTGTTTTCCAGTTTTGATCTCTCATAGTGGGGAAATAGACAGCAGGTGCCTATCATCAGTTGTTTCATGTCTATGTAGATATTCTTTTATTAACAATGCAGAATGGCATATAGTGCTAGCAGGTGGTTGTCTGCAGTGGCCTATATTAGCCTCCTGGCAAAACTGCCAAAGTATCAGACCAGCACCTTAAAGTAGTGTCTGTGAAACGTCTGCCATCCCCTTTGTCACCAGAGGAAATTAAGCTGGCAGCAGGATTCCCTTTATTGGTTGTTGAGAAGTGGCATAAAGCAGGGCCTAGAGAAAGTCTAGTTGGCTGTCTCTTATTTCTGTCACAAACTGCCTTAGTGCATCAGGGTGCAATCACATAGGGTCTAGCTGCACAGAAAAGGCAAAATATTAAGGTAGACGGTTCATGAAATAATAACTAATGCTTCCTCTTTGTGGTTGTAACACATTAGTCCACATTGGTAGACCTGTTTTACACCTAGAAAGGTTATGGTGGTAGGTACTCTTTGAATAGAGAGATCTTCTTTGTCTTTCATTATAGGACACAAGGTAATTTTGAGACAAAAGGGAAGATGGTTATACTGCTGCCTACAGGAGGTCAGACACTAGCAATCACAGCTGTTAGTCACCCAGATATGACCTCTCACACTCCTTTCTTGTGCTTGTTTTGTGCTGGTATGTTAGTAGAATGAATGCCTTCTCTTTCTGAGGAAAGCAAACCCTTTGCACTAGACTTATTTCTGATTTTATCAAGACCATTTTTTTTTTCTTGAATCACTTACTGCAGAGCCAGAGAACTTATTTCTCTGGATTGGCTGATCTCTAGATAGCCTTAGAGATTTTACCTGGACCCTGTCATGCAGAAGATGCAAGGCTGGCCTGTAATGTGACCCTTGGGCATTGGGCTCTGATTGGAGCCCTCTCTGGTCAAATCTGAAAGTTATCTACAGAGAGTTTTGCAGGTCCAGGTAGTGGTACACCTACCTGTGAAAACCCTCTCTAAAAGACACCTTAATATGTATTGGAGCGGGCAAAGACTGCCTAGGTGGGCATGTTATCTAGCTCCTGGCCTGGCATTCTCCAGCTTTGGAGGCCTTCTAGACCACCACTACAGTAATTTGCTGTGTCTTGCCCTGTTGGAGTCTGTTGTGTTCTTACTGTGCTAGTGTCTCTGGTTGCACATCCCCCTTCCCCTTACTTACCCTGGAGTTAAAGCCTGTAACTCTTGCCGCAACACTCCATATATTGTTTGCCTGGGTGGGAAGTGGGCAGTGCACCAGTTTTACTGCGCATGCAAAACACTGGGTTTAAAGAATGCATAAGTTATATGTCCCGTCTGTCTCTGTCACCATTGCACACAGACTTGTAGTTCTATGTGGAACACAAGTGCATTGATTACTGCACTTGTAGTCCACAGACACTTCCTCAAGCTAAGTAGCTGAAAGCCTGTAACACTGTACGGGTAGGGAGCTGGAGGAAGAGTCTGCAAAAGCATTTGCATTGCACCTGCGATCTCTGGCCATTTCCTGCCTTAAGAAGATTCTAGTGTTCTGTTTTGAGTTTGTTTCCAGTGTTTAAGGATCCTGTCTATTAAAAGAAACTGGAGGCCCTTTCCATGACCTTATTCTCAATAGCAAACTACCCTGCCCTGCTGCCAGTCATTGCTGTCATGTCTATGTGCCAGATTCTGGGTTTATGGTCTGTTTGTCTAGCAATCCCAGCTCAATTCAATTGAATTGTTTGCCAACAATTGCAAATTATGCCTGTTTTCCCTACACTGTATTGTTATAGGAGATAGATATATCTATATCTATTGTTTTATCCTATTTGTACAGCACTAGACACAAGCTGAGTATTCATAGATCCTGGGTTATAGGCTGGTACTGTCAGGTGATTGGAAACTGGCAAAGCTTTTGAGGACACACAACCAGATAACCATACCTCACTCCTCCGTTTCTTGCCAGTGTCGTAAGGTGATAGGTCTCTTTGCCTTTGGGAGAAATTACTCTTAGCTTAACTCATTTATTTTCAGAGTCTTCAATCACTCATTACTGTCTGCTAATACAATCAAAACTGTGCATCCATATTGGTGCAACCTCAGTAAAATCATGAGAACTGTACCCCTACCCCATTCTGGGATGATCTGTAATGCTGTTTTGACACTGGACTCTACATAGGCACTTAAGTCGGCTCTTTATGCAACGAGTGTAGTTAACCATGGGGTGCTTTATAGGCCAAGGGCTGTGGTGCATCTCTGGAATCCAGACCCTGAAGTCCCCTTGGGGGGGAATGCCTGCCATGATGGGCAAAGCCTGGATCCAATGTCGTAGACATGTAGGACAGGGTCACCTTGTTGCTTTAAAAATTGGGGTTATGCTTGGAATGTATTCACTTTGCAAACAAAAACTTTTCAAACTTGGTGCTATAACTCTACCTTTTGTCTCATGTGGATGACCAGGTGTTATACATCAATACATTTTACTGCCACTTCCACCTAGAACACTTATAAGGTACTCAGATGCTTCTTCTTGCCCTTTTACCACTGTACTACTTCACTACAGGATAGTCCACATCTGGGTTGCTGCATATTCCTTCTCTGAGACGCTTACCCTATATTTTGCACCCTACTTCATGAGTGCCCCACAAGGGATTACCCTCACTTGTAGCTATGGCAAAAAGTCAGGTGAACATTCCCTTTACTGAATACCCAAATAAAACCCATCCTCAGAGTGGTGACGCTTCCCTTGCACTGGAGCAGGGCATTTTTTTTTTTTGTTTTGTTTTTTTTTTTTACAGCGGTCTCTGCATCCAAATCTAGTTCTGTTCCAGGCACTCAGCAATCCGCCTACCTGACAAAGGCTGACTAAATGCTTTATGACTTCTGTTGCTGTTCGGGGCTACGAAACACATAGCTCCTTCTCCAGCTCCACAGTTTCTACCTGATTCAGATTAATATGCTTCAACTAGAATGAGGTGGACATAGAAGGTAATGAAGAGGACCCAGAGGCAGTGTTAGGAGGCTGCAGAAGATTTTTCACCCTCAGATTCATGCAATATGCTTGCCAATGTGGGTATGCTCACTTTTGCAGTGCACAAAAGCTTAGGCATTGTCACAAACCTTTTAAAGTGTATCTTGGATCAGGCCCCTCACACAGCACTCTGTACTTCCTTGAGACCTCAACTTGGTTCTTTCTGCCTTGCAGAAACCTTAAACCCATCATGTTTATCCCCTTAGATGACCTCTCTTATAAAGTGGCCACCTTGGTTGCTATCATATCTGCCAGACATGTCTCTAAGCTGGCTGCTCTCTTGTAAGGAGTTGTTCCCCATTCTTCACAGTGACATGGTAGTCTTGCGCCTAAGACCATGTTTTCACCTAAAGTGGTATCAAATTTTCCACCTCCATTAAGAAATGGTCCTTTCATCTTTGTGCCCTACTCCAATGCACCCAAAGGAAATTGCTCTGATGTAGTCAGAGTCCACCTCAAACCAACATCCTGATTCAAAGTCCACCATCGTTAGATGGAAAAGATAACTCATTGCTAGAGCTTACACTGTAAAGGATAGAACTCCTCCTGCGCTTTTATGCAACCACTTCACCAGATCCATGGGTGATTCCTGGACGTTTCAGCAACAAGCCTCTGCATCCCTGCTTTGTTCCCCTGTTCATACCTTTTCAGGGTCTTCTCGTTCATTGTTTGGAGATGAAGATCAGAGGAATTTTGCTCAAAAGGAGACTAGCAAAAAATAGGGGACGTTCAAGGCACCAAATAAGCAAAAAGTTAAAACCTCAAAAATGTTTACCATTTCAAGTCATTAAAAATGCAGAAACACTGTGCATATAAAAATAACACTGAGAATTGGTCTATAACCATATTAATGAAAGCATAATGAGACTGGGGAGCTCTGGGGAAGGTTGCAGCAGCATGGCCACAATGTACTTGGTTGGTTTACGTATCTGCTTTGTTGGACAAAGTGTATTTAACTGTTCAGGAATTATAGCAAATGGATCTTGAACATCCAGAAATTGTTGAATTTGAAATTTGGTCTTTGTTTTTCCTTTGGTGCATCTTGGTCTAGTCCTGGGTACAGCTCAGGCCAGAGTGTTCTTCCACAGGCAGAACTTCAGACTAGATTTGATGGTAGTCCCATTCAAGGCAGTCTATTTTCCCAGTTTTACTCCAGCTTGCCACAACACAATATACTGCCACCAAAGGCCTGACTTTTGGCTCAGAAATCTGGCTCTAGAGTTGGACGTACTTCTCTTTTTTGGCAGAACCACAAGCCAAAAACCAATCTTTTGTGCTGGGAAGGAGTCCTTTGTACTTAGTTGTTGTTGAAGTCTTGTCTCCTGATTAACATCATGGGACCTTAAGCAATTTAGCTGTCACTGCAGAAATGGACCATTCCACCAGAGGGTCATCCAATCTGTATTCAGTTAGACAATGCCATGGTAATGGCATACTTCAATCAAAGGAACCGGAAGTCTTGACATGGTTAAAGGGGTAGGTTGAATCCTGTCCTGAGCAGAACCTCATGTGCCAGCTGTATCAGCCTCATTTATTCCAGGTGTAGGCAATTTGCAGTCAGACTTCCTCAGCTGGCAGCTTCTGCACATGGATGTGTGGTCCCTACACCCAGGCATTTTCTAGTACTTGTAGCGCAGCTAGAGAATGCTGGATATGGACCTCCTGGCCTCCAGATTTCAATGACAAGCTAAACAGATTAGACTCCAGGTACAGGAATCCTCTAGCAAAAGCACTGGTTTCTCTGGTGGCTCAGTGGAGTCAGTACACCCAAACTTCTTTTCCTTCCCTGATACTTCCTCCTTGTTTGCAGGATCAAGGTGGAGAGAATTTCGGTGATCCTGATTACCCTGCAGAGGCCTAGGCAAATGTGATGCACTGGCCTAGTAAGACTCCTGGCAGCTGCTGTGTCGGATCATGAGGATCTTGTGTCCCAAGTACTGATTTGGCATCCTGCTTCAAAGTTGCTAGCTTTAGCGGCATGGCTGCTGAAGACCAGCTTCTGAGGGACAGTGACATCTGAGTCTGTGATTCCTACAATGCTAAAAACTAAAGTCTGCTTCTTGCAAGGTCTGTAATTGGAAATTAAAGGCGTACTTCACTTGGTGTAATTCTCAAGAGCTTCCACCCCAGAACTTTTTCTGTGGGATGAATCCTCTTCTTCTTTTGAAGATCTCTTCCACTTCTGTTTCAGAGGCCATTGTCCTTTCAAGACCTTTGGTACAGAGCATTTCCCATGTAGCTCTACCTGTCCATTCCGCAGTGATTGATTTGATTCTGGTTCTCTCTATGCTTCAGAAACCGCAGTCGGAACTAGTTAAAGACTTTCCTCTCTTTTCTCACCAACAAGGTAGTTTTCCTTGTCGGAATCACCTTTGTGAGATGAGTGTCTGAACTGGCATCCTTATCTTGCAAGGAATCTTCTGGTTCTTCGAAGGGATATGATGGTGTGGAGTTTCAGGACTTCCTTTGTGTCCAAGGTAGTTTTTGCCTTTCTTCTCAACCAGGACATTGTTTTTTCATATCTCTGAGCACCTTCAGTTCACTAAAATTTTGCTCCATTGTTTGGATGCATCTGTGTGTATTTCAGAAAGACTAATTTCTATTGTCATTCTGTATAGACCATATAAGGTTGCACTGGATTCTCGTTCCAACATCTCAAGGTGGTTCAGGCAGACCATCATCTGAGCTTATGGTCTTTAGGATCGGAATCCACTTTCTTGTTGAGGCACACTCTACTGTCTGAGAGTGCTTCTTTGGAATCAGGCAACTGTTTTCCAGACTTTCAAGGCCTCTCCCCTGGTCTTCTGTTAACACGTTGTCCATGTTCTTCCAGGTTGACATTTCCCCCTCATCCAATGCCATTTTTGGACTTAAGGTCTGGTTTGTTTTTTTTCTTGGTCTGTTAGCAGTTGATTACTGTGTTGCCCACCCCTCAGCTGGATTGCTTTTCAAAGTCCCCAAGGTTAAAGACCTCCAATGTTCATCAATGGACAAAAAGAAAAATAGGATTTTTTGGTACTCGCTTAAAATACTTTTTTAGGAGTTCACGGAGGTATGCACACTCCACCCTTTTTTGTTTATGACCTTGCTTTTGGTACTGCTTTGCTACAAAATTGAGGCATGCTGGAAGTAGGAGGAGTTATTCTGGGCTGGCCTACAATGTTTTATTTTGTTTTTTTGCCAGTGTCCAGTCCTCCTGTAGACGGCAGTATAACGCGAAGATTCACAACTTCCTGTGTCCCTCAATGGACTCCAAGAAAAACATTTTACAGTGAGTACAAAAGTACTTTTTGGGCTTCCATCAATTTTTTATGGACTAAATATCAGTAATATATATTTAGTGGACAAGACAATATGTGCATAAATATCCATAACAATAAAGCCTTAAAATTGCATGCTCTTAAGTGATCCTTGAAAGAACCAAGACCTTTTAATGAGATGAAACAGAAGAACTTAATCTCTCCTATAATATTTGGATGTTTTGTGGGTTTAAGACCTTTTTTAAATTGATATTTTGACAATTGTTTTGTAGCTGTGCAGTTGCTTAGAATGTTTAAAGTGAACCGTTGCCTTTCACTTTTTAATGTTCGCTTTATGTTTAATTGCCATGCAATAGTAATGTAAAGTGAAAAAAAAGGTACATTGAAAGCTTGTATTTTTCTGTACGTGTGTGACAGCAGTTGTAATCCTGTTCTTTCTAGCATTCCTCCTATTGTTTCTTTCATGCTATAACTTCATTAGGGCTTAGTGGTAACCATGCAAAGTCTATACCTACATCACCTATTGCATCATTATAAAACACATGGCGCTTAGGGCATACCAAGGAAAGTATCTTTAATTTTTTTCTGAATGAATCTTGGTCATCCAGTACCTGGTACCTACAAGGATAGCGTCTCATGTCTCAAGCACCTTCCCTGATTGCTTTAGGGGTTGTCAGCAAGAAAGCTCTCTATATCCTACCTGGTGGACATGCCCTAGGGCTAGAAGGTTTTGGATTTGGGTTTATAATTTTATATATTCTATAACTCAGATTAACCTTAGGAAGTCTCCATGGCAAACTCTTATGAGCCAATCCATAAGGGAGGAGCCAAGACAAAAATTAATCTAATTTTTATTTCTGGCAGCATGGGTGGCAATTGCTAAATCATGGAAGTATTCATCCATCCCATTTTCATTGATAAATACTAAATTAATATGGATAATGACAAACAAAAAAATCATCTGCTATTTTGAATGATAAAATTGCAAAAAAAACAAACATTGAAACCCCAGATACAGTATATCTCTGGGGCACAGTAAGTAACCCTTTTTGAAGGGCATGCAAGCCGGACAGAACAGACAAATGCAACCTTTTTAGAGCATCATTGTGCATTTCACTTTTTGGCTATTCTTCCCCTTTCCTTTCTCTTCTTCCTTTCTTCCAATATATTTGACTATGAGTTCGTGAGCTGATTAATGTACTATATATTTTCTCTGACTATACAAAACCTACGAGTAGTGTATGCAAAGGGAAAACTGTTACGGACAGCCAGAAAGTTCATCCATCAATGATAAATTCATAACAATTTCTGATCTAGTGAATCAACTGTAATGCAATCCCCCTGGAAATATTTATTTCTTGTTCCTTTACCTCATTTATCTTCTTTACCTGTGTGACAATATTAAAAACATTCAATAAAAGTTATTCTAGTATAAACTTGCTCAGCCAGTTTTTATGTTTTATTTGTTCTACATCTATATGACAATTACTGCCGTGTTTACTTCATTAACAGAGTGTTAGTTTATAAAACAATGAAGTAGTATTTCTAAAACAAAATTATCCTCTTGACAAACTTATTTGGTTTTTATAGGTGCCTGGAATACTTATTAAGAAATGATGCAAACCCAGGGATCAGGGATAAACAAGGGTACAATGCAATTCATTATGCAGCAGCCTATGGACATCGTTTATGTCTAGAACTGGTAGGTAGATTCATAACACATAATTGGGGGTGTGGGATTTCTGAAAGCTTTTCGAGTGAATTTACTAAAACTGGAACAGACAGAATCTGAAGCAGCGGCACATTGTGACCAGTGCATGGCTTTTTATATTGAACTTGTTCAGTTAAACTTTGAAAATGAGATTGTAGCAGAGTGTCTGCCATGCACAGCTGCCCCAGATTCTGGCTGCTCCAGTCTTCGTAAATTCTATCCAATGTGTAAGTAGTGTTATTTCATCTCTTTACTTCATATTGTGGTATGATACAGCCATGTTTTAAGTCGATGCAAACATATGTACATCTATGAAGTATAGAATACAGGAATGAAGATCAGTAAAACCATAGTCCGGGGAGTTAGTTGAGCATATTGGGCATTTTATAAGTATGGAAAAGTGACTACAGAGTCTAAACAAATTTTGTCTATTGTGACCATGTTTGATTTATGGGATCAGCATGCCACCATTTTTATTACCTACCAATGTTTGGATGGATAGCCAGATTTTCTGATGACCATCCCAAGCCAAGCAATTTGTCAGCCAGTTCAATATCTGATTCAGATTTTCACCCACACTGTAGACTTTTGTTGTGCGGGTACCTTTATTTAAGAATTGCTAGCAGCATTTTAATAAGACATACTTAAAATTGTAGAGCCATTTGAAGTTAAGGCCTTGTGCATACATATTCTGTTTTTAAAAGACCATCTAGCTGATGCAGCTTTCTTCCCATCAAAGTGTCAATTTAACACTACCTCTTGCAAACTTTCTGGCCCCACCATCAGAGAGTCCTTTACCACTCCAAAACGTAATATTTTAAGAAGCTCATTCAACAAGCCTTTGTTAATTGGAAGACTTATTTGACACAATTAGTACATTTTACATGAACTGCCATGAAGCTACAAAATTACATTTATCTTGTAAATGTTTTTTTGTTTTGTTTTTTTTTTTTTTTTTCTTCTTGGATTTCCATGACCTTCTGAAAATGATTTCATAATCTAATAAATGTATTCTGCATGACCCCTCTTTAAAATAAACAGCAGAGGTTTGAATGCATTGAACTAGTGCTGTAGGAGGAGTGTATCTATCTAATAAGTGTAGCAACTTGATATTTAGTTTGTTTCTGTTTTTGGTGTGGTTTACATCAGAAAAACACCTTTTAGTTTTATGGCAGTGGATGTAAGCAGTATCTAAAACATGCTTCACCCACAAAGGTGCTTATATTTTAGTATTTATGGCAGGTCCACATTGGTTGGTTGATGGTCCACACTGACATTCATTTTTTTTTTAAATTCTATTTTAGTTATAAAAGGAAAAGGTTTACAAAACAGAGCCTCTGGGAATTCCCCAGCTTGGAACATACAGTTGTGACCAAAATTATTCAACCCCCAATGCTGTAAAGGGGTTTAGGGACTATAGTGTACATTTGGAATTGTATTCAGAATCAAATCCTACAAGGACGTTGTAACTACCCAAATGCAACTAAAATGACATCAATTGTTTATGTAATACAGTAGTAAATGGTTCTTATGTGGTTTCTTCATTGCCACACAATTATTCAACCCCTTAAAGACTACCACTCTGAAGAACAGAGGTTCATACAGGTGCTTTCCATCAGGTATTGAAAACACCTGATGTCACCGAGCAGCAATCAAGCATAATAAGCACCAATTAGGCAGCTTTAAAATGACTGTGATACTCAGCTCCTTCTAGACATTTACTGGTGTGGTTACAAACATGGTGAAGGCAAGAGAATGGTCCAGGAAGACAAGAGAAGAGGTGATTTCTCTTCACAGGAAGGGCAATGGCTATAAGAAGAATTGCAAAGATGTTTCATAAACATACCAAGAGACACCTTAGGAAGCATCATTCGCAAATTCAAGGCAAAGGGCACTGTTGAAACGCTACCTGGTCGTGGCAGAAAGAAGATGCTGACTTTTTATATTGCTGTGTTCGCTACCTGAAGCGTAGTAGTGGAGAGAAGTCCCCGTTCTGGACTGCTGAGTCTTGAGTAAAAGATTTGTCAATGTGTACAGTAAGTTTTAGCCCAGACAATAAGACGCACACTGCGTAATTAAGGCCTCCGATGCCAAAACTCCCAGGCATACCCCCTATGCTGTCTCCAAAGAATAAGAAGAGTCGAAAACTGCAGGGGAGTATGCATATTGCCATGTGGACAACCACAAAAGTTTTGTGGGATAGTGTGATCTGTGGGGATGATGCCAAACAAAATTAGAACTGTTTGGGCCCATGGATCAACGCTTTTTGGAGGAGGAAGAACAAGGCCTATGATTTGAAAAGAACACCTTGCCTACTGTGAAGCATGGTGGAGGGTCAATCATGCTTGGGGCTGTTTTAATTCTGCAGGTACAGGGAAAATTTCAGCGTGTGCAAGTTACCATGAATTCTCTTCAGTACCAGGAGATTTTGGATGGAAACGTGATGCAGTTTCGTCCCACACCTGAGGTCTTTAAGACACTACCTTTCAACAGGACTTGATCCCAAGGCATACCTCCAAGTCCACTAGAGAGTCATGGTTACAGAGGAAAGGCTGGAACATTTTGGAAGTGGCCATCGCAGTCACCAGACTTTGTTATCCGATTGAGAACCTCTGGTGGGACTTAAAGAATTAGCATTTTACAGTGCGCAACTGCCATAAGCTAAAAATTACTGAATCTGGAGGCCTTTGCCCATGAAGAATGGGGTTTTTTTCGAAGATACCCCTTCTGTAAATGATCGCTGCAAGACACTTGTGTCAAGCTATGCTTCACGTTTAAAATAAGCTGGTTTGAATGCATTGAAAAGGATGCTGTACTAGGAGTACTAAATTGAATGTCACTTGGGGGTTTGAATAAAATTTAATGGTGTGAGCACAGAAAACACCTTTGGTTATTTTATTAGTATGTAAGCAGTTATCTAAAATTTGTCTGACCCCACAAGGTGCCTCTTTAATGTAAATGTAAGCACATTGGTTGGTTGAATGATCAAAAGCAATGTCAAATTCTATTTTAGCCAAAAAGGACTCAATTTCAGTGGGGCCTTGGGAATAATTTTGGTCACAACTACATGCACACAAGTTGCAAAATCCCCAACCAGCGTAACAACTAACAGCCTGTCTACTCGGCTCACAAAATGGAGATCAATGATCTAGGATATGTCTTTCTCCATCATTCCATTCACACCCCCCCCCCCCCCCCCTTTCCCAAACTGAGAATAGGATTAAACAATATGGGTACACAGGCTCTCACGTGATAATAAGAGGAGTGAAAAACGAAAGACCAGCCCACTGCCCTTGCTCCACAACACAGAATTTGTTGCTTCAGAGGACCAAAAAAATAGAAAAGAGTTATTGTGATGCATTGGTATGTGGGGATTCTGTCCACATAATCCATACTTTAGTAAATTTAGCTGAACATCCCCAGTAGTCTCGGTGGCTTTATACAGGGGTATAGAAGTATTTACTGGAGTTTTCGAAAAATCCATTGAGGGGGCATCAGGAGATTTCCATTTTAAAACTGTGGCTTTTGCGAGCATAGAATAAGAGTAAACTGAGGTGAGTTTTGGTTGCTCAGCGGAAAGCCAAAGAAATCACCAGCCCGAGCAGGCAGATATCCATAGACTGCGGTATAGGTATAGTGGTCAACGTGTTAGTGAACTGGGTAACCTTGCCCCAAAAACGGTGGCTCTTAGGGCAGGATCCAGAACATGTGCGGGAGGTTAGCAACCGTGCTAGTGCACTTCCAGCAATGGGGATAAGCACCTGGATAGATTTTATTTAAACAATGGAATGTAAGATGAGCACGGTGTAATATTTTAAACTGGATTAAATTATCCCTAACAGCTACCAATTGCAGACATGGGTATTCCCAAATGTCTTCCCAACCCTCCTCATCCATATCTGGAACATCCGCCCACCATTTAGCATTTAGGCCACATTGATTCATTAATTTCTTTTTTAAATGTGCAGTAGATGACTCTGGCTCCTTTAAATCTTGACGCTGAGTCAAATCGAGCGAGGCAGGGAGTCCCCAAGTGCTGGACTTTTTGCTGCAGACCTGGTTACTGTTGTGAGTAATCCTCAGGGGATCCCCACCCTAAGGCTGTATTCACACTTGAGCAATTTGTAGCTTAAAGCTTAAAGTTCCAAAAACGATCAAACTTAAAAAAAACAGTTGTTCTCTATGGTGCCTGTTCACACTTAATCATGCAAACAGGCCCATAGGCATGCCTTCCAGAAGCAGATCTAATTATGGCTTGGGCAAAAAGGCACATTCCGGTTTTGTCCACAGACCTCATTTTCCAGAGTAGACAATTGGTAGGTGGACATTTTAATTTGTCTGCGTCTGGATGTGGGAGAATGATCACTTCACTCTGAGGTGGTCCGGGATATCTGTCACTGCTGGTCAACAGAAGACCTAGATCTGTTGGCATGTTGGTTCAAAAAGGTGGATAGGTTTTTGGCCTGGATCTGAGATCCAAAGGCCTTTGCAGTGGATGCTCTGATGACCCCATGAGATCAGTTCCCACTAATGCACATTCCCTCTGCTGCAAATTATTCCTAAACTGGGCACTTCCAGACCAAAACTGCTGTCTCAAGGACATGTCTCCTGTCTTGCTTAACGGTCGCTGGTTTCGATGGCTTGGCTGCCAAAACCTAAGTCTTGAGAGATCCGGGGTCTTTTACTGTGTTGTTCTATGCTGCTTAAAGTTAGGAAAATTACCTCTCACAAGGTCTATCATCACACTTGAAAGGCTTGCTTCACATGGTGCGAGACATAGAAGTTTCACCTATGGGGCATATCTTGTTTTTTCTCCTGCCTGGGCTGTAGCAGCATTTGTCCTTGAACATTCTGAAAGGTCAAATTTTGGCACTGCCAATTATTTGAGACTGCTGGCCTATCATTTCTCTGGTTAAGGCCATTGATCAGGGAATGGCTCAAATCTCATTCCCTGTTTGTGCACTTGCACTTGCGTCTTGTGTCTTGCGATC